AGACTCTCCTGATTATATTACTTTTTTTTTAGCCATTTAAATTCAGGCGCGTGTGCGGGGTTTGCTCTGGCAAATGGTGATTGGCTAAGAAAAACAATTGCCTTCTATCAAGTATTTTTCCAGCAGGGGAGGGTGGCTTTGGGCAAATGATGTATCGGTCCCTAGAAAGGTCACCCCAAGACCCCCGGGATGGATTTTTTTTCTACAGTGCCCAGGCTTCATTTTCTTGGCCGCGCGTTGATCTGGCCCGACTGCTTCGGCGAGCGTATTCTCGGTGTGTTTGGATTATATTCTTCGAGTTTGTCCAAGTCTGTGGGATTCGTTTCTCTATCTGGGAAAGCTTCATTGGTTTCTATATCTGCTGCTATCCTATTTCTACGATCCTGGCATGTTTATTTTCCGTTGGAGTTCGAATTTCGTGGAAAAAGTTGTGTTGAATGAGAGCATGTCGGCGAAAATGGCACCTCGTGTTTCCTACCTTGTATATTATTATTGTGGATAGAGTGAATTTGAACAAATTACTGCAAATTATCACGAAACTTCGTTGGAGCAATAAGGACAACAACAATTAACTGCGGAGTAAGTTTCATTGATCTTTATTTAGTATTTCCTAGAAATTTTAGGATGATATTTTTACCCCATACAAACACTGTAATTTTACTGGAACCGTACTGTGGTACTATCACAGAGCCTGGGTTACCTGTGGTGGCATGTGTGAACATGTGCACATTTGTGTATACCGGTACTTTTCATGTAGAAATTATTGGATCTCATTATGCCTGAAAAGTGCCAACATTGCAAGAAAACTAATGAAAGCCAATTAAAGAAATTCCTTTGTTAATTTTATTCATTTAAATATTTCAGAGGAAAGCTATTAGGGAGTTCAAGCAAAGACTTTTTTGATCAGTGCCACCTTTTAACTTGATGTGAGGCCTTTCCCTTTTGACATGCCTTGAAGCTACCAAATTAATTATAAAGTGTTTGCTAAGTGTCTTTACTCTCATTGAGACAGTTTGCTGCAAAATATTTTGGGCATAACAACTCCCCAAGATGCAATAATTGTTCACTTCTGTTCCCCATTGTGTTGTATGTGAAACGTCGCTTAAGCAGAACACAAGATACTAATCAGACTGCACTGCGCTCTGCAAAATAAATCAACAAGCTAACTGAGAACTATGGATTAAGCAAATAATATTATTAAAATCTTGCTAATTCTCTTATCATAAAGAAACTAGTTGATGTCAATTTATTAATCACTGCAATAGGATCCCAAAAGTTATCAATATCCATGACCACTGCACCCCTACAAAACAATGGAAAATGTGATTGTAAGTACCTGTTTTTATTTTATTTTATTTTTTTTTTAGCTTGGAATGTTTTCCCGTCTTTACAAAAATTACAATGTGATGCAGAGCAGGTTAGCAAGAAAACCAACCTACCATCTGATCTGAGAACGATCGCTGCCAACAAAGGATTCTTTGTTTCTGATAACCAAGCATCTGGGAACTGTTTATTCCATGCATTATCAGAACAATTACAAAGTGTCAAAGGAATTCAAATCTCACACAAAGAGCTAAGAAAAACCTTGGTTCAGTTCCTTGAGGAGAACCCTAATCTGGTAAGTTGATGACTAGCATAACTAATGGGCCTTCTGTGTCTGTTTGGCGGATTCCTCCCATATGATAAGGAACTAAACATATCATGCTGTCCGCACAAGAACTAGTGAGTCAGCTCCAGCTTTATCTGTCACTTATACTCTTTTATTATATGGAGGAGAGTGTTTTACTGGGAACTAAACCACTCGTAGATTCCATACGCCACTTCATCCGGGACCCGAGTGGCGTATTTTCCGTATGTCACCTTTGTGAGTGTCGTATCGTTCAATGACATCATGATTCCCGCCTTTTGCTTTTGTTGAATTGGTTTCTCCATATAATAAAAAGAACATTACACGTTGGCTCGAAGATATGAATTTTATGTTCTCGTGGCAAGAACAATATCTCACTCGTTCGCTTCGCTCACTCGTGAGATACTCTTCTTGCCACTCGAACATAAAATTCATATCTTCTCGGCACCGTGTAATATCCTCTATATATCACCCAGCTCGTCCTACTCTTAATTACTTCATATCACTGCTAATAATTTGCTTCCCTACACCTGTTCTTTAAATTGTATCACGCCACTAATTGATTCCTTAACTCAGTTCGACGTTCTTTGCTAAACTAAATTGGATAAAAAAAAAAAGATGGGATTGAACATAACGAAAAAGAACGTAAGTATCTTGGAATCAAGACTAGGCTTTTTCGATCTTCTTTAAAATCACCCACCTCTTTGTATTTAGCCTGAAATGCTTAAAGGGTAATATCAACCAAAAACAACCATTTTAGGTCACTTGTCTTGGTGACGTCACACAAATGCGTCATGACTTGAAGTAGTCGCTTTCTGTCACCTTTTAAAGTTACAGGTGACCCAGGTGAATTTTTTTAAAAATCCCACTTAACAGTATCATTTCCCTCTGAAAACCTACTTCCAGAATTTCGGAGAGAATCCAAATAATTCACTAACAGGGCTGCCTCAAGGCGGGCCCAGTTTATAAAATACCTTCAATTTTCTCCGCAGGGGGTATTTCTAGGAAGTCGTTGTGAAGGTGTGTTATCCAGCTCTCCAAATCTTGACACTATTTCAGAGCAATAGCTATAAGGTTAATGTAAGGGAGTACTCCCCAGGGATTTCCTACATCGAAAACAAAGACTATCAATTAACATTATTAACTTATTACTGGCAAAGCATGTTAAGTGAAGGCAGCTACATCCTCAGAGATCCAGGGGCAGCTAGTCAGGACGATGGAATGTTTGTGGTGAAAGTTTACTATAAGATAGAGAAGAGCCCCTGGGCACTTACTCTTACCAAATCAGTTCCAGAAGCATTTGAATTGCCTCCTTCTGATTGGCCAGAAATTTAGCAAAAGAAGAGCAAGAAGAAGAAGAAGTGTGTTTAAAGCTCTTTGCAATCATGTTAAGCTTAGCTCAGCTTGTGTGTGTGTGTACATCAATAAATTGAGCAAAGACATCTCTCAAGCTATCAATGGCACTTTGTTTTCAGTGCCTTCTTCAAAAGATGGTAGGATGGGTCGCTTTCGAGGTTCCTCTTTGCTTTATGTTGAAGTGTAGTTTAACGGTTTGAAATGTGACGGCCAATGTCTCTCTCAAAACTGACGGTTATAATCATTTAACAGTGATGCTATGCGATATACAAACAAACTGAACTACGAGGTATATATATTCACTTGGACAGTTTGAAAGGCTTCAGACAAAAAAAAAAACTTAGATTTTAATTTTCTCTGTTAGTTTTAAGAACCAGAATTGAGAAGTGTACTGCTTGTTAACAATATAACTGACCCTGTCACGTTTTATGACCCATGGAATGACAATAATTTTTGGAATTTTTCTGGTTAAGGTCAAATTAGTCATGTTATACTGTCACGCCATATTTTGGGGGGGCAGAGGGACTGAGGGAGGGGTGCATGAAAATAATGCAAATAATTATTGTTTCCTGCTTAGAATGGCTAACTTGCTTATTTTTATTGATAATGGTGGAATTTAAAGGTACTATACAGCCCCGACTTAATAAATGGTACTCATTTTTCTTGTGATGAAAAAATTATCTCCCAAAAGGGTGCAATGTTGAAATGAGTTTATGTTTCACTCTCACATGAGATTCTATGTCACACAATGGTTGGTGACAAGGTTTTATGGTGGCCTGAGTGTGTGCAGCTGCTCCCTCCCCTCAGAAAAGATCACCTCTCAGGGTTGTCATTAAGAGCCGGGCCGGGAATTTTCCCCAGCTACTATGAGTGTGGCTCCGGGCTACTTTTATTGAAAAATAAAAGAAAAATAGAACCAAACAAAATTCCTAGCTGTTTGATTTCCCCGCCTACTTGTTGTGTTTACCCTGCAACTTGAAATCTTAGTGACAACCCTGACCTCTTGCCAGCCTTTCAGCAATTCTTGCTTTATTTAAAATTCGCTTCTCTGCTAACCCTAATGTGCCTCCCAGTAAGTGATTGGTATCAAAAGCTACCCTTGCCAACCACTTACTTTTAAATAAACTTTAAATAAACTTTCCAGCAGATTAAAATCACTCTGGAACGTCTCTGCCTCTTAGACAGAAAAAAACTGAAATTCTCTTGTTTGATTGTTTTTGTTTTTGCTTTTAAGCACGAAGGAACATCTCTGCTTAACTTTGTCCCTGGATATGCATCTTGGCGTGAATACTTACAAAGCATGGCGAAAGACGGTACTTGGGGCAATCATGTGGTTTTGTTTGCCGCAGCAAATTGCTTTCAAATTCCCATCCGCATTATTAGCAGTCTCGACCATGAGATAGTTGTCCAGCCAGATCATGCACTTGCCAATACCAACCCCCTTGTGTTGGGACACATTCACGAGTTACACTATGTTAGCCTTCAGCCCAGACAAGGTAAAACATTCTTTCCAATCAAAAACATCTTTTTTTTTGGACTTGTGGGAATTATGTTTGCGGAATTTATATACATATATCAGTAGCAGAGGACATTGCAAGATAACGATGATACTGTAAATGTCTCTATGATCATGAAGTTTAATTTTTTTCTAAACAATAAGTTGTCCCTGCTTTACCTGAATATACTATTTTGATAAGACGTCATTCCATCAGAAATTGTAACCGTGTACTAAAGTGAGCAAGCTCAAAAACTGTCTAGTTTGTGTCCTTATCCCTGATTTCATAGTTAAAAAGGTTTCCACAAGACAAAGAATTAGATAGTGTTAAGTTCATTAAGTGTGTGTAAGGGCAAATCTTATAGGAGCAGCAAACATAATAATAATAATAATAAGCTTTATTTATCCATCTTTAAAAAGTATATACAATGGATTTACGTAATTAAAGTGAAAAAACATATTCTATGAAAATACTATAATTTAAGTGAATTCCTAAATAATTATTTTTTTCCCCACTGATCAGAATCCAAGATATTCAAATCTTCTGAGAATGCAACCAGCAGATCAAAGGGCAGTGATGGTAACACTCACCAGATTACTGCTCGTCTGCCATCTAGTTCAAAGAATGCCTCAAGCAATACAAAGAACCAAAGAACCACATCAAAAAGAAGGATAAAAAGCAAACAAAAGAGAGAAAGAAAGGAAAGGACTCCAAAAAAGTGCATCAGGGACCCTCCAGAGCTTAATAAAATTCTCCCATCCTTGCCTGACATTAAGGCAAAAAATAGAAAACATGCTGATCTTCCTGTTGATGTAAACAATACTGCAAGCAATGCAAAGAAGCCCATTAGAGGCCCTCCTGAGCTTAATAAAGTTCTCTCATCCTTGCCTGACATTAAGGCAAAAAATAGAAAACATGCTGATCTTCCTGTTGATGTAAACAATACTGCAAGCAATGCAAAGAAGCCCATTAGAGGCCCTCCTGAGCTTAATAAAGTTCGTCCATCCTTGGCTGACATTAACACAACAACCAAACCTGCTGATCTCCCTGTTGATGTTTTGTTACTGACAGTGAAGGATTGTGAGTTCTTAGCTTGTTACAGTGAGCTAAAAAACCCCTATAGATGTCACTTTGATGTTCTTGGGTATGTTTACTTTTCTGATGTGGATAGAAGGCAAGAGAAAGTTAAAGTCGCATTATTAAAATGTTATGAGAACAGTAGTTGTCCTGGTGGTTCTCTCATCTCTGTAAAGAATGCGGCCACTGTCCTCAGACCTAAAGCAGTTATATCTGTTGGTGCATGTAGCAGCCTTCACCCTGAGAAATGCAAGTTAGCAGACATTGTTGTTTCTGCCAAAATAGCAACATATGCATCCAAAGTGGTGATCAATAATCAAGAACATTCAACTGGCATGAGGAGTTATGTGAGCAAACGCTTCCTGGATGTCATTAAGAATTGTGCTGATGGCTGGCAAGCACCATTGAAGAACCTGGCTGATGCTCAACAAGTTCAAGTTTATACTGCTGCTGAGTTTCTAAGTGGACCAGAACAAGTCATTTCTGGACAGCGGCGTGATCAACTTGCTGAAACCAATCCTCAGGCAATAGCAATGGAAAATGAAGGAGAAGGTAGGCCGACTGCTTTTTTGCAGCCAGTCTTTATAAGAAGGTGCACACAGCCAGGTTAAGCTTTGCTTGAGGTGGAAAGAGACACCGTACAGTAGCATGCATCATACTTGTAGTAGGAAAGCAAAAATTTAGTTTCCTTTAAAGCATCAAAAGGTCGGGAGTTTGGCACTTAAAATCATGTCTGTCAGTTTCATTGTGAAATCCTCTCGTTTTTGCTTGAGAAATAATTCTCATATTGCCTAAAACATATTGCGTCTAAATCAAATTTAGGCTAAGTTTAACTCTAGACATTGCTGGCCACTTAAGTTGGTCTTTCAAGTGAGAAGGCTCTTCAGGGACCCTGGGAAATTCACAGCTTCTCTGTTGAGGTCATACCATTACATCCAAGTAGCTTATTAATGTTGCTTGTACTCGTCAATTGTTCTGCTCCTTAACCTGCCTTCCCTTTGGTAAGTACAGTGGAACCTCGTTAATACTGTCACTAATGGGTCAAAACAATTTGGCCTCGTCAACGGGGTGGCTGTATTACAAGGGCAGGGTCAAACTTCATGACTTGAGGACTGTAATGACAAGCACATCATACATCGCTGTCACACTTCTCGTACAACTCTGTTTTCTTAAATAAATAACAGGAATGTAGATATCACGTACCGTAGTTGTAAAAACTACTTGAAACTCCGTCAGGACATAAAACAGTTTTTAAAAGTCGGCTATTAGACCACCACAAAATACATTGTAAGTGACTATAGTTTAAAAACATTAGAAAAACAAGCTCAGCTTAATTACTAGGTCAATGAAATTGACATATCACAGGCATTAATCAGTTTTCAAAATTTCTGACAAGTGGCGGTTTTAGTGGGGTGAAATATTTTATTGTAAAAGATGCTACTGTTTGGTATTTTAAAATATGGCCATTGGCCACATCAATGGGTGACTGTGTTAACAAGGTTTTTTCATTAGAAAATGTATGGCCATTTTGCCAGGCCAAAAATAACAAGGTGACTGTATTACTAAGGTGGCCACTTAATAAAAGCTCCACTGGTTAGCTGTGAGATGGTGCCTGAATTATTGCCACTCGAAGGGTTGTCATGGTTATGAGCAGCTGCACTCGACTGCAGTTTCCTGGCTCTACAAGCCTTGCAAGCACCTCCACCCACACTCATCTTTGTTGATAAATTTAAATTACACTATAATGAAACTTATACAAAAATGGCTGCCAACGTCTCTCACTGTCTGGTCAAGTTTCTTATTTTGCTGATGAAGACACTTAAATGAAACAGGACTTTTGTCAAACCTCATGTACTGTTTGTTTTGTTGTTCTACAGGCGTATTTACAGCAGCATTTGATTGTCAAATTGAGTGGTTAATTGTGAAAGGAATAGCTGACTATGCAGATGGTTCTCAGTTAGCTTCAGAGAGTTGGTCTTCCTGTGCCAGTGTGATGGCAGCATCTCTTGTTACACACATGTTGAATGAACCCCGTGTTTTCCATTCATGGCCTCATTATCAAGGTAATCATGCTATCATAAAGTGCTGCCACATCTTGGCTTCTGATTTATTGAATCTATTGTTGGGTTCGTTCCATAGTACAGTCACAGATAAGCTACATGGTACATGTAGCTTATGTACTGGTGTATGCCATCCCAAATTCAGCTGTCCAAAACTCACCACTTGTTCAAGTTGTTTAAGTTGAGATTCAAGTAGTGTAGTGAATGTGATACATTTCTGTAAAATAACAAGAAGCATTTGAAGTGTGCATCTTATTTAAAAGGGACCAGTACGATTTGAGATAATTTGCAATATTTAGAAGCTTTCATGATAGACCGGATTATACCGTAAATCCTCTATTAAGCCCCCCTCTTCTCAAATAACCCCCCTCCCTCTTATAATCCCCCCTTCCCTCCCCTAATTATTCTTTACTAATAAGGATGGATGGTTTCATACCAACTGGAAGTTTGGATTTGATTCTGATCCTCCGTGCATGACCTTAAACCTTCTTGTACCAGGGGCGTAGCCAGGATTGTTCAAAGGGGGGGTCACAGAGGCTACTCACGAGATTGTCATGTTGACCACCACGCCGTGCATGTTTTACTTAATGTTACAGTTTTGGGATGAGCAGTGAGAGTACAGTGGGCAGAACAAGCCTACAAAATAGCTTCTAGCCAGCAGTTAAGTTCCACGAAAAAACCCTATTCTATTATGACTGCTTAATGTATAGATACTGCTTAGGCAGAACAGTGGGCTTCAGTCTGCCTCGAAATGGTTTAGGATTTCGATTTTTCTCTATAAGTTGAAGAACATTTCAACTTCTAGAGTTCTCGAATCCCACAAAAATATTGTTTGTAGGGAGAGAAAGAAAAGAATAAAGAATGTGTGGCATGTGTGAACATGTGCACATTTGTGTACTTTTCATGTACAAATTATTGGATCTCAATATGCCTCAAAAGTGCCAAAATTGCAAGAAAACTAATGAAAACCAATTAAAGAAATTTCTTTGTTGATTTTATTCATTTACATATTTCAGAGGAAAGCTATTATGGAACTCAAGCAAAGACTTTTTTGATCAGTGCCACCTTTCAACGTGACGTGAGGCCTTTCCTTTTTGACATGCCTTGAAGCTACCAAAAGTGTATACATTGCGAACTGTCTTTACTCTTATTGAGACAGTTTGCTGCAAAATATTTTGGGCATAACAACTGCCCAAGATGCAATATGTTCACTTCCGTTCGACCCCAGTACAAAAGTCGGACCGGATCAACTCGGACCGCCAGTCCGGGTCGGATCAACTCGGATCGAATAAAAAAATGAAAATAAAATAAAATAAAATTGGACTCGGACCAACTCGGATCATAAAAGATAAACAACTCGGATTATAAAAAGAAAAATAAAATCAGTCGGTATCACTTAACTTTCACCCGCCATTTTGTTTTTTTTCTCACGAACTCGTGGTTGCGTAAATTAATTTTAGTTTTATTTTTATTAATTTTAATGATACACTAGTGAGAGGCACACATACACTTCCAGTGAACATTTTCAACTTGGAAGGAGGAGAAATCATGCTCGCCCGGGACAACGAAAATTTTCGTACCCCAGGCGAGAATTGAACTCACGACCCTCCGAATACTACATGTTTATCGGACGTTCCAACCACTGAACCGGAGGGTTACGAGTTCGATTCTTGCCCGGAGCATGGAAATTTCCTTTGTCCCGGGCGTGCATGGTTTCTCCTCCTTCCAAGTTGAAAATGTTCACTGGAAATGTATGTGTGCTGCTCACTAGTGTATCATTAAAATTAAGTTTCAGAAGTCCTGCAGAAAAAAAAAACAAACAGGAACAAACAAACAAACACTCTTCGGTAACTATCTAAATGCGATCAACAGACCAGGCTTTTGATGCTTTTCTCATAAATAATTCAGTATTCTAATATAAGCAAATATATACATTCTAGGCGACTGAAACTATCATTTCTTTACTGTTGAACCACAACCACGAGTTTATAACATGATCCGAGAGGAACTGGCACTAGTAAAACAAAATGGCGCCATTCTCGTCCCCAGAGCCGCTTGGCCCTCTTAACCGTCGGAGCCAGAAAGCCACGGAGAAAAAAAGGATAATCTGGCCTTTTTTACCCTCCAAATGGGTTAAACTTTCAGTTTTGCTGATTTAATTTAATTTTTTGGATTGCTCCGAGTTGATCCGAGTCCAGTTTTATTTTATTTTTATTTTTTTATTCGATCCGAGTTGGTCCGAGTCGATCCGAGTTGATCCGACCCGGACTGGCGGTCCGAGTTGATCCGGTCCGACTTTTGTACCTGCCTGTGTTGTATGTGAAACGTTGCTTAAGCAGAACACAAGATACTAACCAGTCTGCACTGCACTCTGCAAAATAAATCAACGAGCTAACTGAGAACTATGGATTAAACAAATAATATTATTAAAATCTCGCTAATTCTCTTATCATAAAAAACTAGTTGATGTCAATGTCAGAGGATTATTTTAAATTAATCACTGCAATAGGATCCCAAAAATTATCAATATCCATGACCACTACACCCCTACAAAACAATGGAAAATGTGATTATAAGTGCCTGGTTTTTTTTTTTCAGCTTGGAATGTTTTTCCATCTTTACAAAATTTACAATGTGATGCAGAGCAGGTTAGCAAAAAAACCAACCTACCATCTGATCTGAGAACGATCGCTGCCAACAAAGGATTCTTTGTTTCTGATAACCAAGCATCCGGGAACTGTTTGTTCCATGCATTATCAGAACAATTACAAAGTGTCAAAGGAATTCAAATCTCACACAAAGAGCTAAGAAAAACCTTGGTTCAGTTCCTCGATGAGAACCCTAATCTGGTAAGTTGATGACTAGCCTAACTAAGACAAAAATTATTGGTACTGGCCTTCCGTGTCTGTTTGGCGGATTCCCCTCATATTATAAGGAACTAAACATATCATGCTGTCCGCGCAAGAACTAGTGAGTCAGCTCCAGCTTTATCTGTCACTTATACTCTTATATCACCCAGCTCGTCCTATTCTTAATTAGTTCATATCACTGCTAATTACTGCCCTACACCTGTTCCTCAAATTGTATCATGCCAATATTGATTCCTTAACTCAGTTCAACGTTTCTTTGCTAAACTAAACTGGATAAAAGCCGGGATTGAACATAACAAAAAAGAACTGAAGTATTATGGGATCAAGACTAGGCTTTCTCGATCTTTTTTGAAATCACTCACCTCTTCGTATTTAGTCTGAAATACTTCAGCTTTGACAGCAAAACTTGGAGGGTAATATCAACCAATATCAACCAAAAGCAACCATTTTAGGTCACTTGTCTTGGTGACATTGCACAAATACTGGTACGTCATGACTTGAAATACTGGTAGTCACCTTCTGTCGCCATCTAAGGTTACAGGTGACCCAGGCGAATTTTTTTTTAAATCCCTGTTAACAGTATCATTTCCATCTGAAAACTACTTCCAGAAATTTTGGAAAGAATCAAAGTAATAAAAAAATATTCATTAACAGGGCTGCCTCAAGGGGGGCCTAGTTTATAAAACACCTTCTATTTTCTCCTCAGGGGATATTATCTGGGAAGTCGTAGTGAGGGTGTGGTGTCCGGCTCTCCAAATCTTGACACTATTTCAGAGCAATAGCTATAAGGTTAATGTAAGGGAGTACTCCCCGGGGATTTCCTACCTCAAAAAATGAGGACTATCAATTATTGACTTAGTAACAGCAAAGCATATTAAGTGAAGGCAGCCACATCCTCAGAGACACAGGGGCAGCTAGTTGGGATGATAGAATGTTTGTGGTTCAAGTTTACTGTAAGATTGAGATGAGCCCTTGGGCACTTACTCTTACCAAACCAATTCCAGAAGCTTTTGAATTGCCTGCTTCTGACTGGCCGGAAAAAACTAATCGGAGATTGTTTGTTTCTTTTAGCCATACTAAAGCATGCAATTTTCCCTAGCCTGCATAGCAAGTGTTTCCAATCGAGCTATTGCGCGAAAGTTAGAACGCGAGCCCAAGTTTCTGGACGAACTTGCGTGGAAACGCTTGTGACGCAGGCTAAATTTTCCTGGCTTTATTAACATTTTTTTCTGAAACTGTCCTCAATAAACTTTCCCCGTTTAACACCGTACACAATTATGACGATCAATGAGTGTGTGAGACCTTTAAAAACACCTTCTAGCAGATTAAAATCACTCCATGTCTATGTTGTGTACTCAGAAAAAATTGAAATTCACTTGTTTGATTGTTTTTGTTTTTTAGCACGAAGGAACATCCCTGTTTAACTTTGTCTCTGGATACCCATCTTGGCATGAATACTTACAAAGCATGGCGAAAGACGGTACTTGGGGCGATCATGTGGTTTTGTTTGCTGCAGCAAATCACTTTCAAACTTCCATCCGTATTATCAGCAGTCTCAACCATGAGATACTTGTCCAGCCAGATCATGCACTTGCCTACACCACCCCCCTTGTGTTGGGACACATTCACGAGTTACACTATGTCAGCCTTCAGCCCAGACAAGGTAAAACATTCTTTCCAATCACAAACATCCTGGGTTTGTTTTTTGGACTTGTGGGAATTATGTTTGAAGAATTTATATACATAGCTATTTCGAGAAAGGTTGTCAGAAAAAGTGTGCATGCAACAATCCCAAAAGGTAATATGGGATATGATCAATACATGGTTCCTGACACTGTATCTGACGAACCTGCTTTTGTTGATTTCCTTTACCGCTTGCAGTCATATGTCCTGTCATTTTTTCAAATTTCTTTGAAAAACAGTGAACTCAAAACCACCCACAATTAACCTTTTGGGCTTATCGCATGTACTTTATCCGACAACCTTCCTCAAAACAGCTGTTTATCAGTAGCAGAGGACATTGCAAGATGATGTTAATACTGTAAATGTCTCTATGAGAATGAACTTTTTTTTTCTAAACAATAAGTTGTCCCTGCTTAATCTGAATACTAGTTGTACAAGATGTCGTTCCATCGGATGTTGTAACCTTGTACTGAAGTGAGCAAGCTCAAAAACCTTCTCATTTGTGTCCTTATCCTTGATTTCATAGTTAAAAAGGTTTCTATAAGAGAAAGAATTAGATAGTGTTAAGTTCAAGGTGTGTAAGGGAAGCAACAAACAGCATATCTCATTATACTTTTAAATAATTGTGACTGAAATGAAGGAGTTAAAGGACAGAACTTGTCTAAATCTTTTTTTAGGATTGCAAAGATTACTCATCACTGTTTAAACTGTCAGTTTTCCTTGTTACGGTCCTTTCATTTGTTATCCCTGCTTTTTTTTTCCAAGTCATTATATTTGTCTGTGATTATTGTAGAGTTGTAGTTGTGTTTTTTTACATGCTTGAGGTTAAATCAGAAAGCGCTACGTTAGCACTTGGACATGCCGTGTGAGACACTCCTTAAAGTGTTCATTACCGTAATTCCTGACCAGAGAGGTACCCAGAATTTACCTCTACTGTAATTAGATATTGCAGAGATACGTCTGCGGTTCGCAAGCTACCAACTATATGGCTTCACAAATGGAGTAATATTAACGCTAATATCTGGCCACGGCAACGAATCCTGCCTCCTCAAATTAAGAGCTACCACTGACATGCTGTCGATCGCTGTACGTTGCCTAGTCCCTGGGCCTCATTACTCCGCGCGTTCAATTCTATTCGGGTCACGTGGTCCAAGCGAAGAAGTGAGACCTAGACAAAAATCCTCAAAAGTGAGAAAAAATTGAGACAATCCCTTGCGGTCGTTTACAAGACCAAAGTTTCGCATTTCAAAGTTAAAAATACACAGCTGAAAGACAAAGATGGGAAGGGTAAGTTCAAAAGAATGCTTAGTTTTCTTTTATTAGACAATGGAGGGCTTTTCTTTACAAAATTGTCGTTCGAGGAATTCGAAATTTTCTCCATGGCGGAGAGCTTGGCCTGTTTTGATACGCAACCAAGCAGCGAAGTTTTGGGGAATCACAGGTAAATTTTCTACTCTATAGTCAAGAAAATTACGTTTTCAAAAGCAAATTTATGTATTTGTCAATATTTCATGGACGTTTTATACATTTTAAGAGCGGCTTGAGCGCCCAGACTTGAGATTTGTGTTGAATTTTGCCATCATTTTACTTACGTGAACGGATCCACGAGCCAGTTAGTGTTACGCGAATTGCTTTTAAAGATCAATTGATGGGTTTTTAAATAAAGTTTTTCGAGAAATAATTTCTCTGTCTGTTGTTGTACGGTGTTCTTTCATTGATAACATAAGCTCAAAACACGATCCTGAGCTCAAGACTACAGCATCCAAGTTGAATTTTAAATACTTTTCACATTGCACGCATCACTTCTGCCAAGATGTCGGCAAATTTTGTAGAATTTTTTGAAAGTATGTTTTTCTGATTATTCAAGATTTGTACACGCAGAGGGTCACTAAGGTATCGTTTTTGAAGTGAATAATTTGAACTTCGATACATGTTCAGTTAGAATGGTAAAATTGAAGGTGCAGAACTCAATCTTCACAGGACTATGGATGACATTCTGATGACTTTTCAAAGCCGTTCCGGAAAAGTCGATCTTCTATTTCGCAAATATCCACAAGGGTTTTAAAACCATAATTTCCTGCTGTTTTCAACATCCTGAAGAGCTCCAGAAAGTCCGCCATGCACGCGTGCACATTCTGTTTTTGTCAAGGCCTTTCCCACCTGTTCGTCTCGGATACGTCACCGGAGTGAATTGACCGAGAAGGCGCTTTACGCGAAGATGACTTGGGACGAGTCAGACTGAGAAGGCCTGGGAGAATGCTGTACAGGGACTAGGCAACGCCGTACGCACATGGTACAACTTCTCAAATGCAGCCTCGTCGTACTGTATTAGTTGTTGATTATGGAAGAGTCTAGGCAACAGACCTTGAACCATTTAATTGCAGCTTGCGGAAAGTGAATGAGGTCCTCATTTACAATAACTGCGAGGTCCGTCAGTCAACACAAAATTACTGTGAGGGAGATCAACTGAACAAAACACAGCTGCGTACAGTTTGATGTTCAATGTTCTGCTTCTGTATTAATCACACCATGAACGAATTTGTTAAGTGTACCCTTGCTTTTACAAGTCATGAATGTGTGTTGACTCTTCCTGTAAAACAGTGTTCATAAGTTCTCAATGGGTGCAAAAAGTAGTTTTTTTTAAGTGCTCCTGTTCCTTGTTTGATGAAACTGAGGCATTATATTATTTCTGCGGCGCTGTTAAATCATGAATTATGATATAAAGCTTATGATCACTTTAGAGAGAAGACACGTTATGTTATGAAAGCAATAGACCACACTTTCTATGGGTTTACCAACTTGATAACCTACGCGGGGTGTTTGGAGAACGCGACCCTAACACACAGGTTCCTCATTTGAAAATTCTGACCAACCCTACTAGAGTTTCACACAATAAACCTGACATTTTGGGGAAAAATCTGTCAATTTCCTTGTTTACCTACTACTCATTCTAGATAAAAATGTCCCCCTTTCCTGGAAGATAGCCAGCTACAATTCATTGGGAAAGAAACAATAAAATGGGCATAAAAGCTGTAATATAAAAAAGAAAGGCCAGGGAAAAAAGAGCGAGAAAGAAAGGTCGAAATAGATTCGCAAAAAAAAAGCTTATTCGCATGCGCAAAAAACAAGCAAGTTAACTCCATTCAATCCGCAGGAAAATAAATATGCCCTCAGTGTTTCATTTTTATCGATTTTCATGCTTATTGGCCAAAAACCCGCCCCAAAAGCGGATTTGGTTAAAAAATGCCTTTTTTCGGTATTAGCTGGTGGACGCCAAAGAGTTAAGCTATTTATGTAAAAAAAAAAACAACCGCAATTTTCCCATGGTATAATCTGAAGATATATCACAACATTGACCTTGTTAGGATGACGGTTTTTGTCTTGCAAGAATAGAACTGAAGGTTTTAATTTTCTTGAGCGAAATTTTCTTAATATCCCCAAGCATGAAATATCATTACATCTCCGTGTTAGAATTCTGTTAAGTGAAAGGCCCTGCTTTATTCTTAAAGGACCATGGGAAGATTTATGAGTTTCGTTGGTGGTCTGTTTCGCAAAGTTATGCCCTGTCGGGCGAGGGTGAACTAGAACTTGGATGAGCGGCTCGGAATTAAATCACCTAAATCGGTAAATATTATATTCCCCACTGTTTTTTGTACCACTTTGCATGTTGATAAAACTGAGTGGCAAAAACCAGCAAGTTCAACAATGTGTTCTTTCACAAGAACACAACGGTTTCAGATTGAAACCACGCACCATTCATTGGCTCCTGGTTCATGCGTATGTATTCGTTTGAAGTGCCATTAGGCTTCGCCTAGGAAATGAATTTAAAATAGCCAATGTGCAATTTAACATTTTTTGCCCAAACCAACTCCCCCCTTCTATTCTCATGCTAAAGATGTTATAATTTTTCGCAAAATCCTTAAATCTTCAAGTTTGATCTGAAGGGTGTCTCTCAAAGAAAAAAGCATGTAACATTGACCTTAATCTTGCGTAATCGAATTTACCTCGTTATAATAGACCGTTACTTGATACAGCTGTTTTATTTTACATCATTAGCTCCGTCAGAGATTCTTGCCCGAGGCAGGCTAGCGATTGAAGCCTACAGAAGAGCCCTTTTGGAAGGAAAAGGTTACGCAAGAAGAGTTCCCGTCATGATAATTGGGCAGGCCCGGACAGGGAAAACCAGTCTGAAGAGGTCGTTAAAAGGGGAACTGTTCAATCCAAATGAAGGAAGCACGAAAGGGATAGAGACAGATCCGTCCTATTTTAAAGTCTCGACAGACGTCTGGAGAACAGGCCAGAAAAGCGAAGATACCGAATCAGAGCCAACGTTTTTGTTAGACCACCAGGTAGCCCAAAAGATAACTGAAAGCTTAAGGAAAGGAGACCGTTTCGGGGATCCTAGTACTAGCAGGGCCAAGCCATCAGTTAACGATTCCATTCCTAGCAGTAGCGGGATGGACCCTTCACTTCAAGACTCCAAAGTAGTCGATCTGAGCAGTAGCAGAACCGAGCTGTCACTTGACGCCTCCAATGTATCTGAGAAAGCCCAAACCAGTTCATCACGTACAGAACAGAGCGGAAGCGATCCATCACTTCAAGACTCCAAATATCATCTGTCTGTTCCAGAATTACCAGAAAACGTAGCAGCATTAGTTCAAAATTTGCTTGAACATAGCCAAGAGTTTGAGGACGAAGACAACATATATTCCATCATTTGGGATTTTGGAGGACAATCTGTTTACTACGCCACACACCCAATTTTTCTAACAAAACAAGCCATCTACATTTTAGCATGTGATCTAAGTCGTGATCCAGACCAGAAAGCCAAAGCTCCCACGAAAAAAGGCATGTATGAAAATAAAATAGACACTCACTGCAAAAAAACAAATCTCGACTATCTTGACTTTTGGATGACATCAGTTTATTCTTTGGTTAGTCCAAGTACTAACCGTCAGGAAACCCTGTCACCTGAAATGTTGCCTGCAGTATTCTTGGCGTGTACGCATGCTGACAAGCCTTACAAAACCAAGGCTAACCCCAAAGAACTTGCGGAAAAAATCTTTGCTACTTTAAAAGACAAGATTTATGGTGATCTTCTAAAAGACGTGTTTGTTGTAGACAACACAAAGTCAGGTGGTAATGATGAGTGCCAAGACGTGAAAAATCTGAGAGAAACAGTACTTTCTGTTGCCAAGGACCTTCCACAGATTAAAAAGGCCATTCCTTTAAAGTGGCTGAAGTATGAAAAGGTTCTCCGTCTGCTGAGCGAGGAAGGATATAGGTGGATACCCATCGATCGCGCCAGACAGATTGCTTCTGATGAGTGTGGAATTGATGACGATGAACAGTTTCGAACACTGCTTAACTTTTTACACGACCAGAGAATTTTGATTCATTTTAGTGAAACAGCAGATTTGGAAAAAATGGTTATTTTGAGCCCACAGTGGCTCATTGACATCTTCAAGGAGGTGATTACTGTTAAACATTTCAAGCAAACGGATAAAAGAGTTGCGAGATTATGGCGTGATTTTGAAAAGACTGGAATCTTAGATGAAACACTTTTAAGTCATGCGTGGAGACCCTTGTCTGATAATCGAGAAACCTACGAGAACCTCATTGCTATAATGGAGAAATTTAGCCTACTTTGTGCATGGCCCTCAGACGGGACCACTCAGAAGTACCTTGTACCGTCCATGTTAATGTCTCCCCCAACAGATGATGTCCTTAAGCACCTTGATTGTGTACGGACCCCTTCACTTTTTGTGGTGTTTGAATCAGGCAGAGTTCCTCCAGGCTTGTTCTCGCGACTTGTTCTGCAGTTTCATTGGTTGTGTCAAAAGGAGTGGAAGGGCGAGATAAATCCTGATTTGTTCAATAATTTTGCTATGTTTCACATTCTTCCTGATCGTGCAATTTCTGTAGTATTTATGTTGCATTCCTCGTCCATTGAAATAGTTTTTCACGATGGAAAGGATGTTCGTGATCTAAATACAAGCCGAACCATTTATTCGCAACTGAAATGTCTTCTTGAACACATTTGCAAGGAGTTCTTCTGGTTGAAGCACGCGAAGTACAAAATGTGCGTTTGCTGTCCGGTGTGTTCTCAAGAAGGCGGTGTCAAGTGCCGTGATCATGGCAGGCGTGGTTGCGATTGTGTGCACTTTTTGTCGGAGTCAGAGTTGCGTGAGCGGCAACATTGCAGTGAATCTGGCATTTTTGGGGATCGCACAATTACTATCACGATGTTTGAACATTGGTTTGCTTTCCCGGATTCTCAGCAAAGCAACATTCCTCTCACTAAGGTTAGTTCTTAAATTCGCTTTTCCAAAACACGATCGCGAGTGGCTCATTCGGCAATCAAGACATTTTAGGTACAAGCTTTGGTCACGATGGTTTCTGGGATAGTTTGGGTGGATAAACATTGGTGGGTGTTTCTCAAATAGGCCATTTGCACGATGGCGTCATTTTACTACTACTACCACTACCACTACCACTACCACTACCACTACCACTACCACTACCACTACCACTACCACTACCACTACCACTACCACTTCTACCACCACTACTACCACCACTACTACCACCACTACTACCACCACTACTACCACTACTACCACGACTACCACCACCACCACCAGAAATTTCAATATGAAAGGAAGAACGAAATGAATTCTGGTCTTAGTAGTAAAAAGACATCGTGCAAATGGCTTATTGGCTGACCATTCACAACTAACACTTCCTCCTAAATGAGTCCAGAAATCCTCCTGCCGAAAGCATCCTCCCCTTAAATTCCCAAAATAAACTTACCAATAAGAAGTCGAGCGTGGCATTGAATAACGTGGAGTTAAAGTTCCACTGAAGTCCGGTCTTTTAAAGGTAATATTAAGACTGGTGATGCCTGGAAGCCACCTTTCAAAGATGCAAAAGCACTCGAGGTGAAGATACATCATGGCACGATTTTGAGCGGACTCGTAGAATTGTTTGATAGCCCCAAGCATTGTAATGCACTCATCGAACGATTCCGAGAAGCAGTTGCTATGGAAGGAGAGGGTGAAGGTGAGTTTTTGGCAAGAGTAAACTTTTGGTGACCTTGGCCATTAGACCACAGTTGGCAGGATGACTCAAGTCAGTGAATTGAAATAAATGCCCAAATCCTTCAAATTCCTTGTTAACAGAATACCTTTCAGTGAATCATTCTATGAATAGAGATTAATTAAATGGAAACTGTACAGGATCGTTCAAAGTGGATCAGTATTTATTATATGCTTTCATCGGTCTTTGAAACTGATCCTAAGGCCCCCACTGACATTGAAATTATCTTTTAAATTTGTAATAATAACAATAGTGATGATCGTAATAATATTAATAAATGATAATAATAATTTGTTATTATTGTTTTTGTTATCAGAACTTAAAGGGAAAAATCAAATATTATTGTCTGGTATTTCATAATGGATGCTTGGCTGGAGTTGCATTACCGAGTCCTTAATTAATATTTCTTATGATTTAGAGTCATTTTGTGTATCTGTATTTACAGCAGCAAGATGTGACTCAACGTGACAACAATGACGAACACTGCATAACTCCTAAGAAAGGTAAGCCCCCCCCCCCCGGCCCATTTATTCTGGTTTTTGGCAAACATTAACTTTCTGAAAACACGAAAACGGTTCGCTTTTAGAAAAGTTTCAGTTAGCGGGAATCGGAAGGGCATATGAAAATTAGGTCACCTGTAAATTTTCTGTGGTATATCTCGAAAGTAGCGATTGCTTTGGCCGCCGAAAATTAGAAGGATTTGTATGGGAAAAACAACTCTTGCCAACCAGTCACGCTTGAGTGGTTTTCCATACAAATCCTTGTCAATTTGGAAAATTTTAAACTGTCGTTAACTCTTTCCCTTAAGCATTTAAAGGCTCAATTGTACGTTATGAAGGAAAAAGAAAATTTGAGCCCAGTTATGCTTAAGAAAGTATTTTACGACAGTTTGGAAAATTCGAAATTTTTGTTGACCATCTGGGAGTGCGAAAGGATATTGTCAGTTACTACGGTTATATTAAGTAAGGCCTACCTTTGACTGAAGTTTAATGTTAACCTCTGCAATCTGTTTTGTATTATTTTGTGTTTTAAATTTATCTGGCAAGCAGATCAGATTTCATGTTGTTCATTTTCTGCGTGAAGTTTTGATATTTGTAGTTTGTAAATCACCGTTACTGTCTCCGGAGCAAAATAATGATTTATTTTTTCATGTCCAGTCTTTTATGTCTGAATCGACGAGATTTTGTTTTGCTGCCGCTTTGACTAGTAACTATTTAATGTAATTTTTCTATTTAATGTTATTTCGAAAAGAGCTCTCTTGATAAGTTTTTTTACTCTTAAGGCAAACTTCGTCAATAAAATATGTTAAAATAAATTTTTAAAAAAAATCAAAACGGACGAAAATCACGAGAGTATCGAAACATTTACTTCCCTCCCCCTTTGCCTTATCACCCCTCTCTGTCGAACGCACTCCCCTAATTTGCATTTATTTATTTATTTGCAGGACTTTTACAGAGCAAAAAAACAGATACAATGGGGAGGGTCAAACAACAGAGCGATGCTTCAATAGACCCTTCCACGGTTTTTTCAACTTTTTCATGACTGAGGAAAAATCCGTCGACACCCCTGCAAGGAAGGCCTTAAAATTAGCAAAATTGTCAAGTCTTAAAGTGATGCGTCGTAAGAGAATGAAGATACAGCTCCGCAAAGTTGTGAAAATTTACAGACGTTTGCATGGTGGGGGGAGGGAAGGGAAGTTCGTGCCCGCCACCATATAAACGTCTTTAAAAGAAGAAGCTACATCTTCATTAGTTTTCAACAAATCACTTTCAAACTTGGCAATTCTGCTAATTTAAAGGCGCTCTTTCCAGCGCAGTTGACGAATTTTCCCAAACCTGTTCACGTCAAAAATTTAAAAAAAAACGCGGAAAGGTTTATTAAAGTGCGCTCTTGAGAACTATTAACACCCCTCACGACATTGTTGTAAGATCTTGGGAAGATTTTTTAAAAAAACCCGTTTAAATTTCGTCATAACCGGAGATCAGGTCGAATCTTGGCCGCTTTTTTTTGTTCCCCTTGATTTTTTTTAACCGTTCAAAACGAAAATAGAGGCTGAACTCAACTTAACTTTGTCACAAAATCGCCGTAACGTTTTTTTGTCTCCAAGTGTTGAACCCGTTAGATGTGAAGCATCTTTCTTAACTATTGTTTAACTCGTCCATGCGCAATGTAGCTAATAAACATGTCTTTTCGCTAAACGCGATTATTTATTCGAAAGGGTTGTGAGAAAATTTTGACTGTTTAGTAACAACATTGTTATTAATCATTCTAACAATACTCATTGTTGTTGTTGTTGTTTTTTTTTTTTTTACAGAAACTGCATCGGAAAGATCTGCTACTGATCCACCAGAAGTCATCATTAATCAGCTTAAGAATCAGGATCTTCCCAAAAGTGTGACACACTTCGATGATTGCCTACTGCCAGTCGACATTTTGTTGCTGACGGTCGAGGATTGTGAATTTCTAAGCTGTCTGTCATATCTGAATCCTGGTTTCTGTAAGACTTTTCACAGAGATCTTGGCTTTGTGTACCTCGGAGATATGGGAAAAGATGTAAGGAAGTTAAACATTGCTGTAATGAACTGCTACAGGGGTTCCGCCTCTCCAGGAGGATCCATGATTGTTGTATTATATGCTGTCAACGTCTTAAAGCCCAAAGCAGTGTTCTGTGTGGGTTCCTGTACGAGCTTAGACTACGACAAAGTTAAACTTGGAGACATAGTAATGTTAGAGAAGTTAATAACATATGGTCCGTGCAAAATCACGGAGGGTGGCATTGAAGAACGTGGATTTAAAGTTCCACTGAAGTCCGGTCTTTTAAAGGTGAAATTAAGGGCTGGTGATGGCTGGAAGCCACCTTTAAAGGATCCAAAAGCACTTGAGGTGAAGATACATCATGGCACGATTCTGAGTGGACCCGTAGAAGTGATTGATAGCCCCAAGCATTGTAAGGCACTCATCGAACGATTCCCAGAAGCAGTTGCTATGGAAGAAGAGGGTGAAGGTGAGTTTTTAGCAAGAGTGAACATTTGGTGACCTTGGCCATTAGACCGTGGCAAGTAGGCAGGATGACTCAAGTCAGTGAATTGAAATAAATGCCCAAATCCTTCAATTTCCTTGTCAGCAGAATAAATACCTTTCAGTGAATTATTCCATGACTAGATTAATTAAATGGAAACTACAGGATCGTTCAGACTGAATCACTGTATATTTATTATATGCTCAGTTCATCGGCCTGTGCTTATCGATGCTTTGCCCTTACAATCAAGCCGGCTAAATTACGAATTGTCAAATTTTGTTTTAACTATCTCTCACAATCCTTTCCAGTTGCCTTTTCTTGGCTTTTCTTACATTTTCTGAGTTTCAGTCATAATTACTTCACTTCTTCATGTATTACTAATCTTTATTATAGGCGTGTTTGCTGCGGCTCACGACCTCGACATTGAGTGGATCGTCATTAAAGGGATTTCGAATTATGCGGGTGGCAGTAAATCAAAAGAGACATCATGGAGGCCATTTGCAAGTTTAATGGCAGCTTCAGTAACGGCTCATATTCTCAGCGATGCCATCATTTTTCAAGACTGGCCTCACTTTGACAGCAGAAGTAAGTACTGAACAGTTAGAATGCGTTCGTTACCAGCGCATTTTTCTCCTTTTACTCTTCGTGATTCTTATTTCCGTGGTCCTATAAGTGAAGCTTTTATCTTATTTGTAGCCAGTGTAAATCCATTTTTTTTTTTTGCAGTTGCAAAATCAAACTGTCGATGAAAAATGTAATTCAGTTCTGACGATTAAGAGACATGGGAAGAATTAGTCATAAATTAATATTCTGATGGCTCGCTATAGAGGCGTTGTTTCTGGTATAGTATAGGGCTATTTATGGTTTTGGCGCGAGATTTGTGCCATTCTACATCAGCTCAGTCCATCTGATAGTTTTTGTTCTGTTTTGCAAGTTTACCTTTTCTATATTTTATTTTGCTACGTCTTCAGATCTGTATGTTTTGGAATAACGCTTCTTATTTCGGTATATAGTTTGTGAATTTAGGTATTTAGACCCGCACTCTTTTCCATTAGTATACATGTAATTTTGGAGTAGTGTATGTAAAATTGTAATGTATTTATCCCTTTCCGCGGGGTTTTACGTGCCACTGCCTTAGTAGGGGAATACCTTTCTACACATTTTTTGGCCACTTCTCAAGGGTGGTTTTTTAGTGGTTTTTCTTATCTGGCGTAGTACAACTTCTAGCTTAGAACATATATTAGTATTTTTCTAGAACGATATCATTGTTGATACATCTGCATCAGATGACTGACTGACGCATCCTAAATAATGGTTTCACATTGAATATCTCGTGTTAGTGGAGTCAGAATGTTGAACAACCCATTTGCAAATGTTAGACTTGTGAATATGCTCCCTTGAGGTTTTTCCTGTAGAGCTAATTTGTATTCAAGTTTGGGCTTGTGGACTCGCAGAATTAACTGACTCGACACTGACTCAACGGTGCGTGAAACGTTGAGACTTCAATAGTTTTTCATTTCCTCGAGATAAAACGGAGAAAACAGTTCTGTAATAGTCAGACAAACTTGAAATAAAGCGTTTTCAGCTCCCCTTTGTATATGTTTTGTTTATATATATCCGAGTTTTAAAGCTAAATAAGGCCCGGTTCAGACGCCGTACTTTTCATGAGCCGAACCTAATACATTGAATTAAGTACATGAAAAGTTCGGCGTCTGAATCAATTAGGAACGCCTGTTTCAATTTGGAACGGCTCAGCCGTTCTTTTCGCCTAGCCCGGCCGGGAATTTCGCCTTTGGATCGACTTTGGAACGCCTTTGATTCAGACGCCGAACTTTTCATGTACCGAACCAAATGCAGAAATTCTTATAACGTATTTTGTAAGCAGTTTGACCGAAATGCTCATTTTTTGCCTTCTGAATTTAGTTCGGCTGGAACACAACGGTTTACTGCATAAGTGACACGGCAGAAAAAAGTATTGCCAAGTTAAATTCTGCACTTCGTGAATTAAACGAGTGGTGCCTCATTAACAGATTAACACCCCACCCAAGTAAAAGTGAGGCCATGCTAATCTCTAGAAGAAATCCCCCGGTTAACATTCCCCCGATCTTTATCGGAAACTCTACGATTGAATGGGTATCGAAATCACGATTACTGGGAATGACCGTTGATGAGAAACTGACCTGGACTCAGCATATGCTGGAACTCAAAAAATCATTTGCTAAAAAACTAGGATTACTTAAGAAGTCGAGATTTCTCCCTAGAAACGTTCGTCAGGATCTCTATTTTAAGGTCATCTTGCCTTCAGTGACCTATGGTCTTATACTATGGGGATCTTGCTGCAATTCCGACTTATTTCAGTCCCTGGAAAGACTTCACTGCAGGGCTGCGAGACTTATCTTTCATTTGCCGAAAGACATGGCATCTGCTGATGTCCTACAACGGGCCCAATGGCAAACTCTGTCTATTTATTATAAATTAGCCATTTTTATCTGTCTTCATAAAGCTTTCCACGATAGGTTACCTGTCACATTAATCGACCTGATTTCTAAGAAACGGGTCACAAACTATTCAACCCGGACTTGCGCTTCTTTAACTGTTCCACGCTTCAACACGCGTTACATGAAAGACTCTGTCGCGTTTAGAGGCTCAGTCCTGTGGAATGCAGTGACCAACAACTGTAGTCCCCTAACAAAAAACATTCCTTATCGTGATCTCAGGCTAAAGCTCAAATCTCAAGCTAATTTTAATGAATTCAGCTTTAAGATAACGTCTGCATCCACTTGTAATTTTAGAAAAGATGACTTTGTATATACTTAAATTTATGCTCATAATTTCATATTTGTAAGCGCTAATTTAGTTCAAACGTTTTGTCTGTATATACCCCTAGTTTTTACTTGTAATTAGTTAATTGCAAACGACCCCACAAGCTCATGTAGCTTTAATACTCATCGTTTTAAAATAAAGGCTATCTATCTATCTATCTAATTAAGATCGGCGTCTGAATCACTTTAGCCGGTCTAAATAATTTGGGTCGGTCTTAATTCGAATTAGGTTCGGCTCATGAAAAGTTCGGCGTCTGAACCGGGCCTAAGAAGACATAAACTAAATTAAAATAAAGACTTTTCAACTCTACTTTCTGTATGTGTTTTGTTTATATATCGGAGTTTTAGCGCTAAATAAGATCTAGGAAGAACGGCTGAATTTTTTCGATTTGTGAAATTTGCTGAGAATATGGGACTGCCGGCCATTTAGTGTTTTGAAAACCTTGACCGGCAGTCGAGCTGAAAAACGTTTTAAGGCCCAGTTCAGACGTCGTGCTTCTGCCGTGCCGAACTTAATTGTAATTTGGTTCGACTGTAGCACGGCAGGAAAACAACTTTGATTCAGACGTCGTGCCAGAGTCGAACCAAATTCAGGATTTACTGAGGCCTCGTAACAATTCTTCTCCCAACTCCCCGTGGGAACGCAATCTCGCCAAAATACATTAATATAATTTATGAATTTTGTTTAGCGCGGCAGAAGCACGACGTTTGAATCGCTGCCGTGCCAGACCCATGTAGCACGGCAGCACTTGTCGAACTTAATTGCTTGCCGAACTTGATTCAGACGCCGTGCTTCTGCCGTGCTTTTGTCGCACTTAATTCCTGAATTTAGTTCGTCACGGCAGAAGCACGACGTCTGAACTAGGCCTAAGTGTCACAAAACACGGTTTCGTCTTCTGAGCCCAGCGTAAACCAAACACTAGACTTGAGATCTATAAAGCATTTCGGGATCGCTTGACCTGTCTTAATCGACATATGCTAATCGACGGTTGCTTTCTGCACAAAATGAGGTATCCTCTCCTCCGCGTCTGATAACATAGGAGATGATGACCATTAACAGGTGAACTTCAACGAACTTCACCGCAAACTCTTGCTACGCCACATACTACAGCGCTTAAATCGCGTACTCTCAATTGCAGTATACGATATCAAGCATAGCACAGAAACACAGTACAGATTAAACTGTTACAAGAAACCCCGGCACGAAACTTGCTAGTCACCATCGTTAGTCTGCGGTGCTGCGCAACATTTCTCGCAAACCAGCCTTTTATTGATGGAAACTTTATCATCATGCATTGAGATGGCTGAGTCGTTCGGTGTTCTTTGTGTTGTAAAGCAACGTATGGATTCTCCGAAGAGAAGAAAACGATCTTCCCGCCTCTATGCTACCCATGGCCGGCAAAAGGGATTTCAGTATTTTAGGCGATTTTGTTTTAAATATGGAGCTCATGTTTGAGAGTTTTTGGGATTATTCTATCAATCTATTCTTGATCACAAATCGGGGGTAAACTTTCATCTGCTTCGTTGCGCGCTCGCGCCCTTATTTAACCCCTCTTGCCGCTCCCAATAACGCCTCAGGCACGTTACTTTACCCTCGGGTCTCGACAAGCGTTGAAGGTTTCTGGGGTCGGGGAGGGGCTCGCAGAACCTCGCGAGAGGAGGGTGGTCCCTAAAACGTTAAGGATGAGAGCGGAGAGGAAAATGGAGTAAATTGTGTGACTAATGGGACTTGCGGCTCTTGGCGGGTTTCAATACTGGCTCTGAAATTTAACTGGAGGCTGAGACTACTTGATGTCCTAATTCAAACCCTGCCTAGTCCTTAGGCGTCATTACTGCGCGCAGCCGATGCTGTTCGGATCACGTGGTCCGAGCGAGTTTTTGAGGTCTCAGATACGTCACCGAAATGCATTGACCGAGAAGGACTAGGAAGACGCCATACGGGGACTGGGCAAATTCAAACCCTGGCTGTAAAAAGGGAGGAATGCTATCTGGATGTGAAGTAATCTGGGACCGGGAAAGGGATAATTTAACCTAATTAACCTCATTACTACGTGAGCATGGGCTTTGCATATATGACTAAAAAATATTGTATTCAAAGCCAGCAATTAACAAAGGATGCCAGAGTATTCTGTGGTATTGTAAATGAAATTATCGTCGGGATTTCAGTACGATCCGGCTTCCGGTCTAAACAATTGCCATTGTGACGTCAAACTAGTTCCTTCGAGCGCCTTCACCTTCTTCTGCAACTGTTTTATTAACAAATCACCTGTATATTTCATAAGCTCTGTGTACACAATCGCACAACTTCGTAATCTAACAACATATTTGTAAAGGCCGACATGTCTTGAATAATAATTGGACAGATTGAAACTTAGACCAATTAAAGTTCAAAATGATTATGGTCTTTTGCAAATTTTGCATATTTATCTTTTAAATCCCATCTCGTGTTTCTCTGGCCAAGCACTGTTGCCACGTCCTTAATAAAATTAAATGACAGGTCACAGGCCGAAAGATTTATGGAAAGGAGACAAATATAACCGGCTTGGACAAAGTTTATTTGGGTCTCAACCATGCATGTAAACAATGGCTAACTTTTACAGCTCAATCGGAAAGCGAAATATGTCATTGTAAACAATGACTCCCTGAGTGCATGGGCCTTTTGTTTGAATATAGTTTCCTGTAACTGAGAGAATATTCGTCTCGCTGTGGAACAAGAAACCTTCGACCTTATTTTCGAGGGAGCCTCGCTATTTATCAAACGTTAAACATTTTGTTGAACAAGGAAATCGATTGGAGCAGCTTTCGAAGAGGTAAGATATTTCAAATTTATTCATAAAATAAAACAGGGTGAAAACAATGTAGAAATTCCTTATTCATTTATTATCTTTGATTATGACAGTCAACTGTGAAAGGTTTTAAGAGCTGAATGATAATTTCGGCTACAAGAGCGCTTTGTGTGAAAGTAATATAACGAGCTAGGAACTTCTGCCCATTGCAAGAGTAATTCGAGAGAATTAAGGGTGTTCGTAGCGGGACAGAGTTTATATGGATTCCGGTTTTCCAGTTAGAAAACTTAGTTATATATCGCTGGTTAATCCACCTTCCGGAAAGCTCAAATCATCGAGACTTTCACACTTACGCTAAATTCAGGGGAATAAAATACCACAAAATGAACTGAATTTTAAAGAGTTCATGCCGGAGAGTCGCTAAAGTAAAAAGTACCATGCGTGACTAACGTTTGTTAAGAACAAAAACGTGTGGCTTTTTACACAAAGATTATAGTTTAAATCAAAAAATGGCTTAAGGCAAAATCGACAAAATCGGATGGAACGTTTAGGCTGTGTATATCAAGCGATATGGCAGATTACGACCGATGATTTTTAATGGAGTTTGAGGATTACCAAAAGTGTCAAAAGTCGGCGAAGAGTGATACTGTAGACTGAGAAGACTGTGAAGGTTGCATTTTTCGCCTTTTTTAATCGATTTTCTTTCTCTAGACAAAGCAGGCACGAGTTTGAAAAACACGTTCAGGAAACAGGTGTCACTTTAGAATTATGGTTTTAATTTTATCTTCTCCGCTTTTTGAGTGTCTTTAAATAGAAACAAACTTTAATAAAGCGATTCATTAAGATTTCTATCGATCCACATTATCTTGGGCATCAAAACTGATCAAAAACTGAGCTACAAACATGAAAATGTTTTATGTCATTGCATCGCGGGTGATAATTAAAGAAACTGCGAGTCAAAGTTACTACATGAAATAAAAGGAAGACAACAAAAGTTACTAAAACCGTTGTAGTCATCAAAACACGATTTAACAAACCGCCGTTGTATTAAAACCGTTGAATTTTGCACCCTGTTTGTTTCATGGCAAACAAAGGCGTTGTATTTCGGCTTTCTTTTCGCCAGAATCATCCCCCACTGACAGCCCTTACTGGGCTTTAGATTAGAGACAACAAAATGGAAATTAGATGGCTTTTTTTCGGAGTTATTTCATTCGCTACAACAAAAGATGTCTGATAAATCTTTCCGGGGGCAAATGAACACATTTGATTAGCAAAGTCGATTCGACCGTGCGGCTTTTACACAAAATTTTTGTGGTCACAACAGTGGAGCTCCTTTAGCAGCATGTTTTATCAAGTGGCTGAGTAATGCGGATTACAAAAATATCTTTTAAAAGCGGATAAAAACTAACCAAAGCTTTTTGGTGATTGGCAACGAGAAATTAAGCTCTTTTTCCTTAAAGGCAAGGTCGTATAACCAAACAAAAAATAAACCGAGCCGGAAATAAGAAAGGGATCAAAAGCACAGCAAAACAAACGGTCAGGAAACGGGCCTTTGTCTGATTAGATGCTTGCTGCTTTTCTCTACTATATAAAGAGCTTTGGATATATACATCACTTTTTTAAAGAAATAGGGAAGATTAAGATTAATTCGTAGACAAGGAAAGAAGTACAAGCACGTTCTAAGAAACAGGAAAAGAACGAGAAAATGAGGCTTGACTTCTCAGGGTTATACGGAAGTTCCATTCTGGTCATTTGCTGAAAAAACACATAGTAGAGGTTTCCGTCAACTCACTGTCAACTAATGCGGTGACTAATGAAAAAAAACTGTACCACTATTATTAATCTTTCAGTTTTTTATTTTGTTTTATTACGATACAAAACTGCTGACAGAAGACAAAAGTGTTTATTGTTTTCAATTCCACTGACTGTCTTCAGGGCAGAAAACTTTCCTTGAATGAATGGAATAGAATGGATTGGATTCACAATGAATGACGAACTTTGTTTGCCACAAATTTCAAACAATTTGAAGCTTATCTTTTGTAACAGTTATATCAGAAATATGAGGTCTTTCAGACCTGCATAAATTCCAGAGTATAAAGCAATTAATGCAGAAGAAAATCTCCTTTCATCTGCGCATGCGTTTAGTTTGTTCTTGCACTATTATTTCACTTGTGTGAAGTGAGTTAACGTAAGCTCTTAATTTTCGTCGGTGCCTACCTGTTCTCGCGTCTTGGTCGAAACAATCGCTGCGTGAACATAACAGTTACTCTACTTTTTTCGATACTAAACCTGATGCGCGTACGTTTGCGTTTAATTGCACGCGTTGGACGTATGAAAAACAGTCGCGTTTCTGTTTGCATTCAGTACGTTGAGATTGTTCACTTGTCAATATCGGCAAACTTCCTTCTTGAGATACTCAAATGCGCGTACGATTCTTACTCTGTTTGTGTCTGCGTTGTATCACTGCATAGCGCATGTGAAATCGCAATTGCGTTTTCATCTGCTTTTTCGTTTGCATCTCACGGCTGAACAAAAGCTTTCATCACTGCTACGCAGGTTTTGAAGTAATGTTTGGAATTTTAAATTTTGACGGCAACTTTAAACGTTATCTATGACGTCACTCTTAGTCACGTAAAAACCAGTCATTGCAAGTAGATTTTTTCTAGCTCATTTCCTGCCATTTTTGGCGTTTTATTCAGAATCCTTTAAATTTCTCTTTGGATAAAACAGAAGTAAAAACAGCCATTTCTGATTCTGGCCGACAGATTCTATGTCAGTCTACTTGTTATTTTTGTCTTATTTATTCATAAACATCTTACATTTCATTGTGTAAAATGACGCTTGTGTCAATTATGGTTTTAGTGTGGAATCGATGCCTCTTCGAGAATTAAATGAATGTGGATGAAAGCGAATGAAAGCAAATGTAAGTAGATGAATATGACGTAGAATACAGTCGATGTGTCTGTTAAGATGCGATTTCTCCCTCATTTAAAGAATAATCAAAGATTTTTACTCGCTTATGTCACAAAAAATGACACTTGTGTGTGCACGTATCATCTTCTAACGTGCCCTCACAGCCATCCTGAGCCTACGTTCAGACGGCAACGGACGACTTTTCGCCGGACCGGCTAAAAAAATTTGACCGGACGTTTGGTTCACACAAGACTGTTCAATATTTTCGCTCTGTTCACACGGGACTTAGAACGACTAAGCGTATAAATTTCGTACGGTTAAGGTGGTTCCGTGTGAACGGAACACCTTAACCCTTTAAGTCCCAAGAATGACCAACATCAATTTTCTCCTAACAATTTCAGCAAATCATCGACAGTAAAGGTTATGAGAATAAACAAAATGATCACCTAAGGGAAAATGCTTTGATCTTTGAAAAAATTCTCTCAACTAATTCTGTAAGGAAATGTATGGAGATCAGTCAGGAGAATTTGTATGTGGATTTTGGGGCTTAGAGGGTTAACATGCGAATTTTCAACCGGTCGTTTTGGATTTTCACCCTGGCTTGCTGATGGGCATTCTTGTAGACTTAAGGACAGGCAGTCTTCGCCCCAGCTATCTGCCTCTGGTTCTCGTGGACAGCTTGTCGTCCGTGGCCAACATTCTTAACCAAGCAGTCTTCGAAAACCTCTTTCTCGACCCTAAATTTGGGCAAACTTTGTTTACTTTGACACGGGCTGTTTTGTTCTTTGTTTAGTGTTTAAGCCATGAATGTTACTTACGGACCAGTGGAGTTGAAGAAGTTCTTGGAAGAGGCTGCGAGAGTGTCTCAGGTAGATTTTCGTTTGGTCTCCTGTTTTCCTGCTTTTGAAACCTGCTTATACATTTATACCAGTAAAATGTATACTCCAAAAAAGATGTTAGCTTAGCAGTTCGAGTAGAACTAATAGTATAAACTGTTGATTTCAATACAGGACCACCCGGTAGTGATGACAAAGTTTATCGAAGGTGCCCGAGAAATTGAAATGGACGCCGTCGCTAAGAACGGAAAGGTTTGTGATGTTTGACCATTTTCTGCTTCATGTTAACTTAACTATTAGTTGTCTTCTAATGGATTATCTCTATTCTTACAGCTCTGTTTTTTGACTTTGGTATCTTGTTTCCTCCAGGTTGTTGCTCACGCTATTTCTGAACATGTGGAGAATGCTGTTGTTCATTCAGGATTCACAAACAATCAGCGAGGAGGATATCCAGCAGGTACGAAAGTGGGTGGGGCTGACCACGTACTGCTAGCAACTAATCGCAGTATAGTTCCACGTCAGTAGCTCACTAATAGGCTTGGTCACGCACCTGCCACCTCGTTTACGCTAAGGAACTTGAGGAGTAGGACCCTTACGTTAACCAATATGGGAGGGGCTGACCACGTGCAACTAGCCACTAGTCACAGTATGGTTGATGTCAATAGCTCACGAATGGGCGTGGTCAGACACGAGTCACCTCTCTTATGAGTTTGAGGGTGTCCACGTGATGCCAGAATCCGTTGTAGATCTAAAGCTCAACTGGCTTTTTATTCTAAGAGGCGTAACCAAAGAGGTGTCCCCTTTTCTGCGCTTACGAACTTTGACAGTCGGTGTCCCCAGTTAGTTCTGCAGCCTTTTATAGACATATTAAATTCTGCAAGCAGAATACTGCAATGCTGATCGTACTACGTGAAAATTAACTCTGCAAGACATCAACACGACACCGAAAGAACTCAAAACAGAGCGGGATTGTAGCCATAGACAGCTGTTTCGCCCTCTTTGGGGCTCGTCAGTATGGTTAATGTTTGTACTGTTGTTGGGCAGGAGCTTATCCTGTGTTAAAGGAAAGAACATGTGCCGACATTGGTAGAGCATTTATCATAACGACAGTGCAGAAAATTCAATAGAGCGTTTTCACTCACGTGGCTAGCACTTAAAAGTGTTTACATGAGAAAAGAGTTCCACTCCCACAGGACTGGTTTGGGACACCAACATTGCGGAAGTGACGTGATGTGAACTATAGTCATATTTTCGTAATAATTTCATCGTTAGAAGTAACGTCGATTTTTTCACACGATGGTTAAGCCAAAGCATCGTTCGTGTTACAATAGTAAAGCAGAAAAACTAAACTGATTAATACGGTTTTCTTCTCGGAGAGATGGAGAATTAGTTTTTTTCTGTTTGTTTACATAGTAGTTTTCTTATTATCTTTAAAACTGCATGTCGAAGTTCGCGTAAACGGCAACAATACAAAATTGGATTAATGGACGAGTTCATAAAAACCATATTCATTGTCAAATCCCACTCCTGTCTCTCGAGTTTTGGGTTAATGCCCAAAAGTAACAGTGATGTAAACATCGGAAAATAACACAGAATCATACAGATGTAGTATATAGAAGTGTTGAAAGCACTTCTCTTCCATCGCGCCAGGTTCTGTTTATGATCAACAATCACAGTTTGCATGGCGGGCTGCTGTTGAATTTGAATCTGAAGCTTATGTTTACGAACCTAATACAATCTAATACATGATGTTGTGCAGGCCAAGAACCAAAGACTTAGTGATATGTTTACAGCGCGTTTAATGGTCATCATATCCGGGTATCGTAAGTGAAAATGAAGAGCCATAAACCGATCCACGCTGATGGCCGTCATCGTACAAAAAGAAACACTACAGGCCAAAGAGACGAAGATGTAGGCTAAGTGTTCTAATTCCGGTCCCGGGTTAAGTCTGAATCCAATGTAGATCGGTTGTACAACGAACCCGACCAGGATATGTGAGGCAGCGAGACTACATAAGAAAATTGTGGATAGTGAACGAAGAGAAGGAGTTGGTAACATTGCGGTCAACACGAGAACGTTGCCCATGATTGTTAAGAGCATAAGCAGACCATTAAGCAAGCAAATCGTCGTAACAAAATTGGCTATCGTACTGACGAATTTTTGCCTTGAGTTGTAAAAGCTGATTCGGATCTCCTGCTATCTTACTTTCTTAGCTTTTTTCTCGGGAGTACACAATTGTACTTAATGTATTATACACCAAGGTAGCTAAAAGACCAAAAAATTAATTAAGCTTAGCATTCTTATTTGCTTTTTGATGTCAGTATAATAGCTTTTTATGACTTCGTTACCCCTGAGTGAGCAGGTGAATTTTGGGGTGGATTTGACGCTTTCGAACCGTCATGCACATATTTTATATATATTGGCCTAGCTTTCTCCCAAAAGAAATCTTGGAAACTCATTAATATGTAATTCAGGCTCAAGCGGACTATCTAGGTACATATGTTCTTCATACGTGTAGCGGAGATGACACGAATAACTTACACATTCTCATTGATTTGGGCTTCAGAACTGAAAACCAGGTGCAGCTCCCATTCATGTCTCCAGTCCCCATCGTTTCTGCTCTGGGTCACATGAAGTCGAGTGGCTCTGGAGACGATATTGGACAGACTAGACACTAGACAATGGTTGGAGTTTTGGAATTCAAGTTTTGAAACATACTCTTTTTCGGTTTTATTTTTATCACTATTTTTTACGAGACAATTTCCTAAACCCTAACCACAGAAGACCTCAAAAAAAAAGAAAAAAAAGGAAAGAAATCAGATTCATGAAATTTGTTACACAACGCAACCCACCGGTGTCTAAAAGATTCTAACGAACAAGTGGCATTTAGTTGAGAATCACCCATTTAGATTACTGAGCAAGATAACAAAGAGCGATTTCTCATTCCCTACAGGACAAAAATCTTTTAAAGACATACAGTACCCATGGGGGGCAGGGATGTCCCAACCTCCCGTACTTTGCATTCCCAGCTCTTGGCTTCCTCAGTCCCATTAGCCCTGTATTCAGAACGCATTTGAAATCAAAAGTGCCATTTTAGAGAAGGGATAAATTTCGGAAATCAAACATTAACTGGGAAGTCAAAAATGAACCCGGCAAAAAAACACGCCATTTTTTAATCAAAGAAAACAAGACAAGAATCAAAATAAATACTAATTGTTAGCGTTTCCGTGTGTTGAACAGTTATGCAATAGAGGAAAATAGTATAGGATTGGCAATTAAAGTACATTCTTCACTGATTCGTGTAACAATAGACTTGTTGAAACCCGATCTTATCATGTGATCGCCCACGCTTATTCAAGCTATATTCTATTTAACAATTAGTCGCCTGAGGCGACTAATTGTTTTAGTATAATTACATTTATGATTATTCGAGAAAATAAAATTACTGATCAATTTCCGAGTCCGAAACATCAACAAATCTGGCTACCATTTTGGAAAACTGCTAGCCTTCAATGTTATAGCCACCGCGCGGTGATTATAGCGGGATGAAGCGAAGCTCCTAGCCAATCATAGCGCTCTATTTTCGATAATCATCAATGTAATTATACTAAACTGAATTAGTATTTTGGCTAGGTAACAAGAGACATTTGATTTTTTTTTTATCAAGAACAATTCAGTATAGAATATAGCTTCATCGACCGGAACAGTCTAGTATAAGTATGTATACATACATCTATATATCACTTGTATTCTGGGTAGAACGTATTTCGTAGAGCGCTCAATTCATTTAATTGAAGAGCATTGACTATTAATAATCACAGGAGTTCAGGCTTCAGGGTAATCATTGATCGTTTATTGCGACAGTGCTGTTTCGAATGGTCCGCCTGATGAGTGTGGGACCACACTCATCGGCACCTTCAAACATCGTTGTCGTTAAACGATCAATGATTACTCCTGAAGCCTGAACTCCTGTGATTATTAATACATCCATATATTATATATATATACATTTTTTGACAAAAGAGAAAGGATGTAACAACAGACTTGTTGAAACCCGATCTTATCATGTGATCGCCCACGCTTATGCAATCCTGAACTGCTATCGTCAAGGTTATCATGCTAAGTGAACTCCGGAATAAAACATTTCTATTTTCATCACTATCAAGGCGTGCCTTGACTTTGTTACAATTCGGATTCTCACAACTGAATCACTCGTGATGTAAAGATTTTCTGAAAATCGGCACACTATCGACTCTTTGACGTTGGCCAATAATGATTCCTTTTTCCTCCACACAACCAATCTCCCCGAGGCGAACACATGCTCCCCTTCGCCTGCACTCGTGCGTATCTGGCAGGTAGAAAGTTTAACGTCATCAGACGCCCGCTCTGCAGGTAGTGGTTGACCAGTTGGAATAGCTTCCAGCTTTTCCGTTATTAAACACGACATGTGCTGCCGATAACTAAGCTTGCTTTTGCTCGCCCGTAACAATTTTGTTGGAAACTACAATAGCTATCGGTTTTCAACATGTGTAGTACAAATGAACATACCAGCGTGCTTACAAGGTGTGAAATAGTGGCCTTTGATACGGGAAGTTGTTTGACCTTGAATTCAAAGACCCTTTGTATTGAGAGGAATGATTTGGGACAAAAGTAAAATTTGACTCCGGACTGGATTCATAACAGGGAAACGTCGTCGGGGATTCAGATCGAGTCTCACTTTTCTGAATTGAGCGCATACGCCATGAAACAGTCTAAAAAAATAATCTAAACTGTTTGTTTTTTAAAATTTACTCTGGAATTCTAGCGTAAAAACAGTTGTTTAATTTTAAGAGCAACTGAAAGTCCGTAAAAAGGGGAGGGATGGGCGAGGAAGAATGTTTTTCCTTTGTTACAAGAACATGTACTAGGAGCTGTATACGTTAATTAAACGTGGCAGCCACAGATATTTTGCTATTTAAATCGTTATTCATCATTGGAGAAAGTATGAAAATCACATTACTGTGTATTAGTAAATTCTATGCCATCCATATGACCGGTGATCTGTTTGGTCAGAACTGGTATAGATATCAAAAGGGTGTAAAGGGCTGGGTCCTTTAGGCTTAAGAGTTCTGCAAAAACTTTGTCCAGAAAGCCCTCTTCTCGTCACTCGCCCTGATGTCTATAGCTTTGCGAGAGCAAACCCGTTTGTAGAAAAGAAAAACAAAAGGCAAACACAGGCAAGTGCTTTCGAGACTATTATATCATCCATCTTATTCTGTTTTATCCTTTCAATGCAATGTTAAAATTTTTACAAAAGCATCTTGTTGTTTGCGTATTCACGGCTTATTCTTGGAACCATCGCTGTGTCAGAATCTGTCAAGCTCACTGAAAAGTGATATGATATTAAACTGCACAACAACTACTCCTTTCAGGGTAAACGAATCAGTTCCTTTTTATGAATTTAACTCCCGTCTCCTCGCTTACATGCTTATACCTTTCCTCTAGTTTCCCTCTGAACAAAACTATAAAATACAGTATGTAAAATAAAATTACTTAGTATATACACACTCAGTGATCTTGGTGATTTAAGCAATCTGATTGGTTCGCTATCTCGGACTATTCAACAATATTCACCTCCTTGCCTCCTTTTCAATCTCGGTGAATAGTGGCTTTGGGAAAATTTACCTCGCCGCTTTCGCGGCTCGGTAAATATAGCCACTATTCACCTCGATTTCAAAGAATAATTGTTAAATGTAACACGCGATTTTCGGAATACACAAATGGATGCATTTTTTTTTTACTTTTCAGCTTAAATTATTTTTTTTCCTTTTATTTGTGACGCTAGTATAGATATTACATGGGACGAAAACTTACAATGTAAGTCCATTCAAACATGATTCAACTAACCTAGAATTCCAGATCCAGATTCTAAATTTTTCGTCTTGATACGTCTGGGACACTTTTGAGCCAATGAATGCGAAGACAATTTATTGTCAGAGACATCGACAGTCGAAGCACTCCCAGGTGAGTTAGGTCGTGGTTACATCGACGTCGGTGTGGAAGTTACGAAGTGTGTCGCTGTCTTTATCCCTTTCAACGGTAAATTTTCGGCTTTTTGTAGCTTGGGGCAAACCTGAAAACATTAGCCAAGTTGATTATCTCAGCAAGTATCTATCCCATCATACAACTTCATCAAGTTACATCGCTTGGTTTCTTGTTGGTGTTCTCTGAAAAGTAGATTTTCTGCATTGCAATGCATGCGTTGCTTGTCAAGGTAAGAATCGAAGTTTCTTTTTCATGTGAAATCTAAGCATACTGTGTCTTCTTATCGTGTGCAAGTATCGTATCAGGTCCCCTGAGGTTAAACTTTAAAATACTTCGCCGCTTTTTTACATGTACGCTCATTTGCATCGCATACTTGAATAACATTAGCTTAAAAGTGCCTGTTGTGTTGTGCTTCTTTCCTTAAAGCGCTCTGAAACGTATTTGGGCAGGAAACAACGATATAGTACTCAAAGAAGGGAAATTTAGTGACTCTTTGATTCGATAATCAATTACATGGTTTTGGTTACTCGTGCAAAAGTTGACAAACGTTGGTAGTGAGAGATGGCGTGAGGGAATGATCGAATAAAGGACGTGCGTGGGAGGAAGGAATAGCCCACAGAAAAGAATCAAACAACTGGCTTGACCAATGGCAGAGCGACAAATTGCAAATTAAAATTCAGTCTGACTCCCGATCTGTGAACCAAAACTTCCTTAAAAATTAAATTCACAAGCATACTTGTGGATGGTTAATGCTCCTACCCAAGCCAGCTTTTTTTAAAACTTGTAGCCACTGACTGACTATTTTTCTTGTGGTCATGACGACTGTGTTACTTGTCATAGTTGTTTTGGAATTTTCTTTTACTTATAAATATTTAAACTTTAATTTAATTGTCCAGTTTGTGTGAAGCCCTTTCAACTTACTGTCATGCAAGCGGCAAAGAGACGAAGAGATGTGACTGAAGACTCAGATAAAGAAGGTAATTTCTATGGTTAGAAAAAGAGCCCTCCTATACCTAAAGCTAAAAGTGAAAATGTGATCACTTACTGTACAATTATCTAAGACTATTGCAACCTTGGTCATAATTGCTGCGACGTTGGACTCTATAGTGAAAACATTTGGCTGAACCCATCCCTCCTCACAAAGTTGGGAAGAACTCACTCATTTTTAATTAAGCAAGTGAGTGATTAGTCCTTTTAAAAAAAAACTTTTGCATGTGGACCAACCTTAACGAAACCGTTTGTTAGAGCTACAATGTATAAGGCAGAAAGATTTAAGAACCAGGCAGATCTTAGAAGGGGGAACAACTTAATTATCATTTGGCAGGGCTCGAAGTTGCGACTGATACGGTCGCCAATGCGACTGACATTTTCTCCTTGGCGGCTAAAAATTCTAGTTTAGTCACCAAAGTGGCGACCAGATTTCTCCATGATTTAGATTTGAATTAAAAGAGTAAAGTTAAAACAAGCATTTCATCTTACCCAGCTTTGCTTTCACCATAAAAAATGTGCCAAATCGCATAAACAAGGTCAGTTTACCTCCACATTTATACCGATAAATGATATTTATCTATGATATTTTCAAATCTGATGGATCGCACCATACCTTCTGATACTATGCAGGGGTTCTGATAGGTCGCAGGAAAAAAGTCAAATTTTGCGGGATTTTTAGGGGCAAATTCGCCGAAAAATCGACCGATTTCGAGGGAATTTTTGGGGCAAACTTAGCCAAAAATCAGTCGGTGAAAAAAGGCCGATTTTGGGGTTATTTCTGAGGGAAAACTTCGTTACAGAAAGATCGGTTTTGCGCTGACCAGACCAGCCTTTTAAATGTTTTTCAAACAGAGGTCATCATTTGCTCTTTCAACAACAATACTCTCCAGAACTGAACCAATGGCAAAGCCTTTAACATCATGGCTAGTGCCCAGTTTTTTGCAACATAATAGATCTACGCCTGGTAGTTTCGGAGTTTTGGGGCGTTGTTTGCACGTTTCAGCGACAAAGTTTCAAGATAAACATACAAGAAGCCCATCTTCCTCTAATGTGTAGTTATCTTTCACTACTTTCAAAATAATTGATTCTATTGTATTAGTACTTGCTGCTTTCCTCTGTACGTGTACATGTTTCTCTAAAGTGGGCCACATACATTTTTTAACAAAACCTGTCCCAAAATAATATTATACCCTCAATCAGAAACCACCAAAATAATCCTTTAATGATGACAGACAAAACTTTCCACCTTTAGTAGACCAGCACTTTCAGTTACAGTGTAGCACAGAAATATTCAAAAATTCAAAAGTCATGCCACAAATTCCACCTCTGATGATTCAAAAAAGGCATCGGTTTTGCCAGTTTGTACAATGTACAAACTTTGGGATTTTAACATTTAAATTTTATGCACTGCTTGAAAAATGAGCGGGAGTGTATTATCAGGTTTGAAAACTTTAAAAACAGCCATGTACATACCCCCACTCTAATTTTCCAAAATTCCCTTGGCATTTTTAGTTGGCACAAGCAAACCTCTATCCAATCTTCACAGTGTCTAGTGTGTCCATAATCGATTTGTGACAATGCATCTGTAGGCAGTTGTTCAACCCTCCATCATAGTGCTTCTTAGGTAGTTCTTGAGTCATCTGATGGCAGAAAATGTGTGCTCTGAAGTCGCTGATGTCACAGGAAATGTCAAATACATCCGTAAAAGTGTTTTTGGGCACCAAAATGTGAGCCCCCCTGCCCCACCTGTTCCACCGCCTATGAGTTTTAAATTGGGTAAATGTTGCCGAAATGTCTTTTCTAGCCTTAAAGTGATTTATCCAAACAACATGCCATGTTTAAAAGGCAGGTAAAATTTAAAATCTTTTTTATCCCACCATGGACTTACTTGCTAGGCAACGAAAAAGTTGATGTGTATCATGTTCCATCACAGAAAAAAGCAGCTGAATTTTACGAGAGATTACCTCAAACTTTAAAGAACGCGCTAAATTTCGTACTAGAAAAAAAACCATTGTTTCTCTAAAGTTTTCAGGGATCATGAACGCAATTTCAGAGCAAAAGATTAGTCATGTTACGGACGTGTATGTTACAGCTGATCTTTATCAAGCCAGCCCGGATAAGCCCCAAAATCGTTTGGCATTACGAAATAAACATGCTGTTGATTGTTTACGAGTATACACTGTTTGTTTGCATTTGGAGCAGGCATTTGAAACTTTACTTGAGGAAATGAAGCTTGATACAGATCTCCTTGAAGAAACATTCCGTTCATATAACTTGAATTTCTATTTCTATTTCTACACCTATACTTGGCAAAGTTTGCCCACTGCGCTAAGGTAAATAATAAAAAAAATAGAGAAAGAATAAATCAATAAAATAAATAAATAAAATAATCAAATAAATAGAATTATGTAATCAAATAAATAAAATCTGTTCCCGAACAGTGCATTTAAAAATGTCCAAAGTCTCCATCTTCCTAATCTTTAATGCTAGAGCATTCCAATCTTTTATGGTTCTCGGGAAGAAACTGTTCACGTAGATGTTACCCTTGGAGCATGGATTTATAAAAGATGATTGAGACCTAGTGTTATAAGTATGGGTTGGTATATTTAAGTGTGAATTGGTCTTGTTTCGAGCATACAGTCGCTTGCACGAAATTAATATAACCATGCTGTGTTGTGGTACAGCTGTATGTCTTTGTAAAATTATCGAGAAATCAGTCATGGTTGAATCTTTTGTTTTCTGTCCTGCAAGACACGATCAGGATTTGAGCTAGGATTTGATCACGGGGGGACAATTTGTCCCCTTGGCTAAATTTTTGGGGGACATTTTCATTTTTAGGGGGACAGAAATTTGTACACCCTTCTGCTGATGCAAAGGGGTTTGTCTTCTTAGCAGGGCTTCTGATAGGTCTCGGAAGAAAAAGTCAAATTCCGCGGGATTTTTAGGGACAAATTCGCGGAAAAATCGGCCGATTGCGCGGGAGTTTTCGGGGCAAACTTCACCGAAAAGCAATCGGTAAAAAACGGCCGATTTTGTGGTTATTTTCAAGGCAAATTTCGCTAGAAATCGATCGGTTTTGCGCTGATCAGACCAGCCTTTTTAACGTTTTTCTAACAAAGCTCATCATTTGCTCTTTCAACAACAATACGCTCCAGAAATGAACCAATGGCAAAGCCTTTAACATCATGGCTAGTGCCCAGTTTTTCGCAACATAATCTGTTTGTACGTTTCAGTGATGAAGTTCCAAGATAAATTTGCAAGTTTACGGCAAGTAAATAGCCCCTATAGCTGAAATAAGTTTGAAATATGTTTTACAGACATGTATTTGATAACATTTCTACCGAATTTCGCGGCTCCGCGACCGCGCGAAGAATCAGAAGCCCTGTCTTAAATTTCCGACAAAAATAGCAGTAGAGTGTGACTGAAGCGTAACTTTGGAATGAACTTTAAAGGTGCGATAAAATATACCTTCCACGTTCTGTTTCAGCTTGCAATTTCTGTACTGAAATAAATCTCTTCGTGTGTGCTTCCTTTCGAGTTTTTTCCCTAAATTTTGAAGGGGACAAATTGTCCCCTTGGCCGTTTTTTAAAGGGACAATTCCAATTGCAGTGCGGGATTGGCGCAATGGCGAGGCCTGGCTCAAACCCTGCACGATCCTCGACTTGATTCTGGATAGCTTGTTCTGAATTCTTGATTCGCACAGGAATCAAGAATCGCGAATCGAATCAAGAATCGAGACACGCAACGGACTGTCTACTTACTTTTGAATGGTACTGAATAAGTAATTCTCTTTGTTTACTTTTCATTAAAGATGTATGACAACTTTGATGTTTGGCTATGGCATCTTCTTTATCAGAACCCCAGTCACGGGATTGCAGAGCCGATGATTTCCGCAAATTGCAAGTCACTATTTTGGCTTCTGAATGGGGATCAAGCAAAGGGGGACTTTCCACCATAAACAGAGAGTTAGCCATTCAGTTGGCCAAATGCCCTGAAGGGGAAATCACTTTCTTTTTACCTCAATGCAGTCAAGAGGAAAAGAAGGTAGCCATGAAGCATAACGTAAAGATCGTTGAGGCAACACCACTGCCTGGCTTTGATCAACTTAACTGGCTTTGCTTTCCACCTGAAGATTTGCAAATGGACATTATCATAGGTCATGGAGTTAAACTCGGTAAACAGGCTCAAATCATTAAAAGATCCAAAAGGTGCAAATGGGTTCAAGTGGTGCACACAGATCCAGAGGAACTTGGAATGTTCAAGAACTATTCAGATCCAATTTCAAAAGGCGAGGAAAAGCACAAGATAGAAGTAAAACTGTGTGAAATGGCAGATCATGTTGTTGCGGTTGGTCCCAAGTTGAGCGAGGCCTTCCGCTCCTATCTTCGCAGCTGCCAAAAAGATGACAATGTTGTTGACTTCACTCCGGGAGTATTTGTAGAATTTGCGACTGTGAGGCAGGCATCTAGCGAAAGGCAACAACGCAGTGTCTTGGTGTTTGGTCGTGGAGACGTAGAGGATTTCAAATTGAAAGGATTTGACATCGCTGGGAAAGCGGTTGCTGAGTTAGAAGATACTCGTCTTGTCTTTGTTGGAGCTCCAGATGGAAAACACAAAGAAATTGTAAAATTGTTGACTGAATGTGGTGTCCCTGCAAGTCGCTTGAGAATAAGAGGATTTGTTCAAGATCGGGAGAGTCTAAGGCGCTTGTTTCAAGAAGTTGATCTTGTTGTCATGCCTTCAAGAACAGAGGGCTTTGGGTTGACAGGACTGGAGGCCTTGTCAGCTGGTCTCCCTGTGCTCGTCAGCCGCAACTCCGGTTTTGGAAAAGCTTTACACAGTGTACCTTTTGGATCAACATATGTAGTGAACTCAGAGGAACCGGCAGATTGGACCTCTGCTATCAAAACAATCTTGGTCAAGGACAGGAGAAGTCGGCTTGAGGAAGCAAAAACCTTGCGCGAATTCTATGGCAAGAAATACAACTGGGCCAAACAGATAAAAGATCTCATTGACACGATGATCAGTTGGGTGGACGGTATGAACGCCAATTTTCTTTTTATGAAAAAAATATTCTTAACACATTGCACAAGGAATAATAGGATGTGGACTCTAATAAGAATTGAAAATAAACAAACCAAACCAAATTTGAGTAATATCTGCTGCCTTTTTGTCCTGGCTGAGATCATGAAAAAAAAGGCGATTACTAAGTTTTATGTTGCATGTAAGCAAACAAAGTAAAGTAATATCGACCCAAACCATCTATCATATGCTTTATTTCCAGTTCACTGGCTTATGGGATTATTCCATACATCATCTGCATTTACCAAAACAGCCTGTTGTCATCTACTCTTTTTTATCAACAGATGATTCTTTAGATTACCAGAGCTCTTCAGAAGCAAAAGGCAGAATTTTTCCGTCAAGTGATAGAGCTTCTCAGCGAACAGAGTGGACAACTGTAGACCCTGAAGGTATCCCTGATGACTTAATAATAATAAGCTTCTTGAATGCCATTGCTGATCAAAAGCATAAGATTTGTTCATTAAATTTGTTAACATCATTTGAATCGGTTTTTTGTTGTAAGTCCTTGGCTTATGCAAGTGTGGATGAACGATAGCTACAATCAGGGAGAAAAGTAGTTGACACACTTGTTTAAAATGGGTGCTTTTATCAATAATTTCATTCATTTATTATGTCATTTCTTTTAAATGCGGTAAATCCCCTCACCCGAAAATCAATGTTGTCTGAAGTAAAAGAAAGACTTGAGGGTCCAAAATACAACATTGATTTTGGAGGGAAGGGGTTGGGGTACAGAGGGCAAGGGGATAGGTATGTCCACTATGCAAAATGGGGCCATTTTTGGGAAGTCTCGACCTCAACACTTTTGTTCCTCATTGTAGGTTCACTTGCATCTATACATACCACTAAAGTAGAACAGTGGGCTTCAGTCTGCCTCGAACTAGTTTAGGATTTCGCTTTTTCTCCATAAGTTCAAGAACATTTCAACTTCTAGAGTTCTCGAATCTCCCAAAAATAGTGTTTGAAGGAAGAGAGAGAAAAGAAAAAAGAGTATGTGGCATGTGTGAACATGTGAACATTTGTGTACTTTTCATGTACAAATTATTGGATCTCATTATGCCTGAAAAGTGCCAAAATATTGTAAGAAAACTAATAAAAGCCAATTAAAGAAATTCCTTTGTTGATTTTATTCATTTAAATATTTCAGAGGAAAGCTATTACGGAGCTCAAGCAAAGACTTTTTCGGTCAGCGCCACCTTTCAACTTGACTTGAGGCCTTTCCCTTTTGACATGCCTTGAAGCTACCAAAAGTGTATTGCTAAGTGTCTTTACTCTTATTGAGACAGTTTGTTGCAAAGCGTTTTGGACATAACAACTGCCCAAGATGCAATATGTTCACTTCTGTTCCCCATTGTGTTGTATGTGAAACGTCACTTAAGCAGAACACAAGATACTAACCAGACTGCTCTGTGCTCTGCAAAATGAATCAACAAGTTAACTGAGAACTATGGATTAAGCAAATAATATTATTAAAATCTTGCTAATTCTCTTATCATAAAAAAACTACTTGACTTAAATTTCAGAGGATTATTTTGAATTAATCACTGCAATAGGATTCCAAAAATTATCAATATCCATGACCACTACACCCCTACAAAACAATGGAAAATGTGATTATAAGTACCTGTTTTTTTTTTTTCAGCTTGGAATGTTTTTCCATCTTTACAAAATTTACGATCTGATGCAGAGCAGGTTAGCAAGAAAACCAACCTACCATCTGACCTGAGAACGATCGCTGCCAACAAAGGATTCTTTGTTTCTGATAACCAAGCATCCGGGAACTGTTTATTCCATGCATTATCAGAACAATTACAAAGTGTCAAAGGAATTCACATCTCACACAAAGAGCTAAGAAAAACCTTGGTTCAGTTCCTCGATGAGAACCCTAATCTGGTAAGTTGATGACTAGCCTAACTATGACAAAAATTATTGGTACGGGCCTTCCCTGTCTGTTTGGCGGATTCCCCTCATATGATAAGGAACTAAACATATCATGCTGTCCGCGTGAGAACTAGTGAGTCAGCTCCACTTATACTCTTATATCACCCATCTCGTCCTATTCTTAATTAGTTCATATCACTGCTAATTACTGCCCTACACCTGTTCCTCAAATTGTATCATGCCAATATTGATTCCTTAACTCAGTTCAACGTTTCTTTGCTAAACTAAATCGGATAAAAGCCGGGATTGAAAATAAGAAAAAAGAACTGAAGTATTATGGGATCAAGGGCTAAGTTTTCTCAATCTTCTTTAGTCTGAAATACTTGAGCTTTGACTGCAAAACTTGGAGGGTAATAACAACCAAAAACAACCATTTTAGGTCACTTGTCTTGGTGACATTGCAAAAATACCAGTACATCACGACTTGTAATACTGGTAGTCGCCTTCTGTTGCCATCTAAGGTTAAAGGTGACCCAGGTGAATTTTTTTTAAAATCCCTGTTAACAGTATCATTTCCATCTGAAAACTACTTCCAGAATTTTGGAGAGAATCAAAATAATAAAAAGATATTCTTTAACAGGGCTGCCTCAAGGGGGGCCCAGTTTATAAAATACCTTCTATTTTCTGCCGAGGGGGTATTATCTTGGAAGTCATAGTGAGGGTGTGCTGTCCAACTCTCCAAATCTTGACACTATTTCAGAGCAATCGCTATAAGGTTAATGTAAGAGAGTACTCCCCAGGGATTTCCTGCATCAAAGAATGAGGACTATCAATTATTGACTTAGTAACAGCAAAGCATATTAAGTGAAGGCAGCCGCATCCTCGGAGACACAGGGGCAGCTAGCTGGAGTGATAGAATGTTTGTGGTGAAAGTTTACTGTAAGATTGATATGAGCCCCTGGGCACTTACTCTTACCAAACCAATTTCAGAAGCTTTTGAATTGCCTGCTTCTGACTGGCCAGAAAAAAATTTTCTGGCCAACAGCGAAGAGGAACAGCCGGGTGACTCTGGTGTCTTCTTACATGACATAGGTTTCGTCCATGATTGCCATTGTTGAGTAGCCCTTTTAACTGGGAAAGTTTCTTGAGATAAGTTTCAGAAAAAATGTTAACAAAGGTGGAAAAGTTTCAGAAGTCGTGCAAACAAGCATGGAGATCTATAATGTAAGCTTGGCATTGTGTACTAGACAATGTGAGCAGTGGTGTGGAAAGTGAAAGTTGTGCATCGCGTATCAGCAATAAAAATTTATGATACCTTTGACAGATCCGTTGTGAAAACTAATCGGAGATTGTTTGTTTCTTTTAGCCGTACCAACTACTTTCGCACGGAAACACTTGCTACGCAGGCTAAATTTTTCCTGCTTTATTAACATTTTTTTCTGAAATTGTCATCAATAAACTTTCCTCATTGAACACTGTACACAATTATGGCAATCAATGCAGTGTGTGCAGCCTTTAAATACACTTTCTAGCAGATTAAAATCACTCCATGTCTATGTCGCCTACTCAGAAAAAATTGAAATTTACTTGTTTGATTGTTTTTGTGTTTTAGCGCGAAGGAACATCTCTGTTTAACTTTGTCTCTGGATACTCATCTTGGCGTGAATACTTACAAAGCATGGCAAAAGACAGTACTTGGGGCGATCATGTGGTTTTGTTTGCTGCAGCGAATCACTTTCAAAGTCCCATCCGTATTATCAGCAGTCTCGACCATGAGATAGTTGTCCAGCCAGATCATGCACTTGCTGATACCAACCCCCTTGTGTTGGGACACATTCATGAGTTACACTATGTCAGCCTTCACCCCAGACAAGGTAAAACATTCATTTCAATCACAAACATCCTGGGTTTGTTTTTTGGACTTGTGGGAATTATGTTTGAAGAATTTATATACATAGCTATTTCGAGAAAGGTTGTCAGAAAAAATGTGCATGCGACAGTCCAGAAAGGTAATATGGGATATGATCAATACATGGTTCCTGACACTGTCTCTGATGAACCTACTTTCGTTGATTTCCTTTACCACTTGCAGTCATATGTCCTGTCATTTTTTCAAATTTCTTTGAAAAACAGTGAACTCAAAACCACCCACAATACCTTTTGGGCTTGTCGCATGTACTTTATGCGACAACCTTCCTCAAAACAGCAAAACAGCTGTTTATCAGTAGCAGAGGACATTGCAAGATGATGTTAATACTGTAAATGTCTCTATGAGAATGAACTTTAATTTTTTTCTAAACAATAAGTTGTCCCTGCTTAATCTGAATACTAGTTGTACAAGATGTCGTTCCATCGGATGTTGTAACCTTGTACTAAAGTGAGCAAGCTCAAAAACCTTCTCATTTGTGTCCTTATCCCTGATTTCGTAGTTAAAAAGGTTTCTATAAGAGAAAGAATTAGATATTGTTAAGTTCAATGTGTGTTAGGGCAAATCTTAGAAGCAACAAACAGCATATCTCATTTATACCTTTAAATAATTGTAACTGAAATGAAGGAGTTAAAGGACAGAACTTGTCTAAATCTTTTTTTAGGATTGCAAAGATTGCTCATCACTGTTTAAACTTTCAGTTTTCCTTGTTTCGATCCTTTCATTTGTTATCCCTCCTTTTTTTCCAAGTCATTATATATGTCCGTGATTATTGTAGGAGTTGTAGTTGTGTTTGTTTACATGCTTGAGGTTAAATCAGAAAGCGCTATGTTATCACTTGGACATGCCGACACACTCCAAGTGTTCATTACCGTAATTCCTGATCAGAGAGGTACCCAGAATTTACTTCTACTGTAATAAAACAGTGCAAAGATATAAGAGAACTCTTGCACTAACCTGATTCCTTTTCGGTCTGAGGTCACTCGCTCAAACTCCATCAGCTTGTTAGCTAAAATGCTATGCTCTCAACTATTGTACAATGAATTAGATCATTAGTGTTGTTTTTTGAATAATTTCTATAACTGGTCATTTGTGAAGAATAACAGCTGTTTAATGCATAAATAAATAGAGTGGAGAATGTGCAATTTTTACCCTTGAAACCTAGCGTGTGCCGCAGAGGAAACTAAACTCTAGTAAAGTCCGTCTGCAAAATAGCACTGAAATCCTTGTTATACTGGTGCTGCTTCACAGACATTACTAACTAAGGTTAAATTACGTCTGCGACACAAGTAGGGAGTCAAGTTAGAAGTTTAATATATCGAACATGGGCTATTCGCAAATCTGAGCTATCTGTGAAATGTCCATCTGTTACATCCAATATAAAATTTGAAGTTCCATTAGGGAAAATCACACACTTCTCATTGGTTTAGACTTGAAATATGAGCTGCAAGTTTATCATTTTAATTCTTATGTTTTGATTACAGTAAACACACATATAAGAACACACTATTTCAGAGGTCAGGCTGATTGAGTTCTTATTTATCGGGTGCTTAATGACAAATTAGCCTCAAAATGTTGTTAAAATGTTCTTAAGTTTTTATTTAGTAATGCTATCCAAAACATGTTGCTAGAGGTATATTTAGCATATTTTAGTGAAACAAAATAAATAATAATATTCTGTAATTTGAGTATATTAACAACTGAAGTTATCCGACAGCAAACATAAAATTACATGTTTTGTAATTATGACACTTTTTTCCATTTTGTAAGAACATGTTACAATTTTCAGGCTGACCTTGTTCTTATAAAAATAGGGCTTTATTGGCCAAATTTCAGCCGGGTGTTCTTAATCCATTTGTTCTTATATGCGGGTGTTTACTGTATTTTGACCTAAAAAATAAAAGGTCACACATTTGGCTGAACCCATCCCTCCTCGCAAAGTTGGGAAGAACCCACTGATTTTTAAGCAAGTGAGTGATTAGTTCTTTAGAAAAAACTTTTGCATGTGGCCCAACCTTAAGAGAACCTTTTGTTAGGGGCTATTTACATGGAGACAGAAAGATTTTAGAACTAGGCAGATCTTAGAAGGGGGAACAACTTATCATTTGGTAAATACATGCAAGGTTGTGGTCAGGTTAACTGTTAACTGCCTTTAGACAGACTGAGGCTTTTTTGGCTAAATCTGGCAGTTTGTTTTTACTCATTTTACTGTGAGGCTGGACAGCATGAAGCCCATCTTCCTCCAATGTATAGTTGTCTTTCACTACATTCAAAAGAATTGATGCTGTTGTATTAGTACATGCTGCTTTCCTCTGTACGTGTATCTCTAAAGTGGACCACTTATATTTTTTAACAAAACCTGTCCCAATGTAATATTTTTTATACCCTCAATCAGAAACTACCAAAATAATCCTGTAATGATGACAGACAAAACTGTCCTGCACTTTCAGTTAGCGCAGAAATATTCAATCATTCAAATACTCATGCCACAAATTCCATCTCTGATGATTCAAAAAGGTATAGGTTTTGCCAATTTGTACAATGAAGGCCACGTTTTAGCTGAAACTTTGGGATTTTAACATTAAAATTTTATGTACTGTTTAAGGTGGCTCGACTGGATTTTTTGGGGGGGATACCTCCCAAGTTTGAGCCTTAACCACGTCGACATGAGTAAAGATATGGAAAAAAGGTTACCACAACTGTATTACATAAGGATGAAAATTTCTTATGATCTGAGTTTTATTGCAATCGGAGTCGCCATGGCAACGTAATGACGCCATTACGTTTTTCATTTATCTTTGTGTTTCTCTGTACCAGGTTTTTTGAAGAAATCGCTTAAGGGAGTATGTACCTGCCATAATTGCCTCCATTATGGCAAAGTTTGAAGAAATTCTATGAGGCGTTTTCGAAATATTTTGAAATGCAGTTTTAAGAATCATAAAAACAGTGAAATAGCATGCTAGCCACACAATTCGCTAATATTTTAAGAAAATGATAAGCTTTGGGAACGCGGCTTCATCTCATAGTGGTTCGAATCCATTGAAAACTGCATACAAAAAAAGAGGGGAATTGCTCTGGGCGATCGCGAGTAAGAAGAATTTTATTAACTTGCATTCAGATGCTTTTGATACAGTTTTTGGAGGTAATTTAGTCCATGCCTAAAAATTTCGCATTTTTCCAAAAACCGCTCGATAAATTTTTTTATAAATTCGACAATTCCGAGATCAATCGTCAAGAAATATTCCCAGCAAGTTTTAAGAACATTGAAAACAGGAAAGGCTTTTAAATAGGGCCGCAAATATAGCCAATTTTCACCCCAGATTTTGTGTTTACAAGCGAGCGTCCTCATTATTCACTGGCGTTGTTTTCAAGTTTCATATACACGTGCACATTTAGCAAAAAGATAGAATTTACATCAAAAAGGACCCTCGGTTAAATCTCCGGGATATATGCTAATTACCGGGTAAAGAGGTTAGTGATACATTATAACATCAGAGCAACTCTTTGTGAGAGTTTCTGTGATGTTATAACCCGAGTAAGATAATTAAGTCTGGCATCCTACACGATGAGCAGTGACGTTCACCGTTTCGGCTCTCACTGCTATCTGTGACGACAAGCCAATTATTAGCATATACCGGACATTTCTTCGGAAAGTAATTCGAGAGTTCTTTTTTATGCAAATTTATATCTTTTGCTAGTTGTGCACGTGCATATGAAACTTGAAAACAATGCCAGTGAATAATGAGGACGCTCACTTGTAAATACAAAATCTGGGGTGAAAATTGGTTATGTTTGAGTCCCTATTTAAAAGCCTTCCCTGTTTTCAACGGTCTTGAAACTTGCAGGGAATATTTCTTGACGATTGATCTCGGAATTGTCGAATTTATAAAAAAATTTATCGAGCGGTTTTTGGAAAAATGCGAAATTTTTAGGCATGGACTAAATAAACTCCAAAAGCATCCGAATGCAAGTTAATAAAATTCTTCTTACTCGCGATCGCCCAGAGCAATTCCTCTCCTTTTTTGTATGCAGTTTTCAATGGATTCGAACCACTATGAGATGAAGCCGCGTTCCCAAAGCTTATCATTTTCTTAAAATATTAGCGAATTGAGCGGCTAGCATGCTATTTCCCTGCTTTGATGATTCTTAAAACTGGATTTCGAAATACCTCGAAAACGCTCTCATAGAATTTCTTCAAACTTTGCCATAATGGAGGCAATTATGGCAGGTACATACTCCCTTAAGCGATTTTTTCAAAAAACTCCTGGTACAGAGAAACACAAAGATAAATGAAAAACGTAATGGCGTCATTACATTGCCATGGCGACTCCGATTGCAATAAAACTCAGATCATAAGAAACTTTCATCTTTATATAACACAATTGTGGTAACCGTTTTTCCATATCTTTACTCATGCCGACGTAGTTAATGCTCAAACTTGGGAGGTATCAACCCCAAAAAATCCAGTCGAGCCACCTTAAAGGAGTGTATTACTGCATGACTGTGAGTTTTTTGAATGGCTTCAAAATATTTGATATACTTGTATGTCAACTTATTCTTGCACTAATATTTAGATTTGGGGTTATTTTGGTCTTAAAAATTGGAAGTAAAGTTTAGCTGTGTCTTCATCAGATACAAAGACACTCATTAAACGTTAATTTCTTTTGTTTTTTATTTATGAATTAGTAATTAGTTTTTGAAATGAATTTAACAGTCAGTAGGTGTGCAGACACAGCAAAAGAAGAAATTCAATTATTACTAACAGCACAATCTTATTGGGTATTGCTGTGATGTATAGTACTGTTTCAATAAAAAGCAATATAATATTCCTTGTGCTATAAAGATATTGTGCTTATTTCCAGTGCTAAATTTTGCAATGTTAGTATGAAGAGAGCCAATCTTACACCAAGAAGCCATGTTTAAGTCTCATTTAATGCTAGTGGCAAAAAGGTGCAAGATACAGGTTCTGACACTTTTTTCTGTGTCTTTGCAACCTGCCATTAGCACTCCATATTGTTAATATTATATATTATTTTACTGATTTCCACTTTTATTATCATTAATTTTTATTATTATTTTTTTAATTCACTGATTAGGATCTAAGATAATAAGAACCTCAGAATATTCAACAAGCAGATCAGAGGACAGTGATGGCAGTACACCCCAGCTTACCACCGATTTTCCAGAGGATACAACTAGAAGGTCAGACGGAGGTGATGGTTCTGCACCACAGCTTACCAGCTGTCTCCCTTCTTGTGGAAACAATACTGCAAGCAACACAGTGAAGCCAATTAGAAGTCCTCCTGAGCTCAATAAAGTTCTTCCATCCATGGCTGACATTAAAACAATAACCAAACCTTCAAAAGATGCTGGTCAGCCTGTTGATGTTATTGTCATGCCAGCAACAAAGAAGAAGAGACATGTGGCTGAAGACTCAGATGAAGAAGGTAATTTTTGTTGTTAGAAAATAGGTTCACTTATAGTTGAGAGTGGAAATGTGATCTCTGAGGCTAAAAAAGAAGACCAACTTTAAGGGTACCTTCTTCTTCTTCAAAGAGGTTCCAAAGTCGCTCCAAAGGTGAAATTCTCAGCCGGGCGAGGCGAAAAGAACGGCTGAGCCGTTCCAAATTGAAACAGGCATTCAGACGCCGAACGTTTCATGTACTTAATTCAATGTATTAGCTTCAGCTCATGAAAAGTTCGGCGTCTGAACCGGGCCTTACTGGTTCACATGACTTACTATTCTGAAATATACTTTTCCATGCTATTCTCATTGATAGTGATATTTTAGTTAACCACTTTTTCAAGTAAATAGTGATAATTGATTGTTTCTCCGATAGGGCTGCAGCAACATGAGTATAAGGACGGTCCAACCGAAAGGCAACCATCAACATCTTCATCCAGCAACGCTTCACATGATTCGTCATTCAACTGCACTCAAACTAACGAACGAAAATTAGCCTCTTCCATCATCGAAGATATGAAGAAACACGTCCGAGAAGTCACTGAGCAGCCTTACGGAGATCTTAAATCACCTTTTCATAATCCAGGTGAAGGACCCAGAAGAGATCTGAAGCTTGACGAAATCTTCACCAATTTAATTATTTATGAGGGGAGAGTTAAGTATGACTTTTCTGGAGACAGAATGGAACAACTAAAAGAGTACCACAAAGCCAATGAAAATTTGCGACCCACGCTTCCAGGAGATATTTTTGGTGCTAAAAAACGGAAAATTCTTGTTGTTGGTCGTCCTGGAATTGGAAAAACCATGTTTAGCACAAAGATTCTTCGCGACTGGGCGTCCGACACCTTGTTTATCAAAACACAAAAATCGCAAATAGATTTTAAAGTTGCCTTCCTCATTAAGCTGAGGATGTTTAACTCTAGAAGCAAAGAACTAAATCTTCGCGAGCTTCTGGATCACTCAGAATATTCAACAGCTCTTTCCCAAGAGATCTGGAACTACATTCGTCACAACCCAGAGCGAATACTGGTGATTTTTGATGGATTTGACGAGTATTCTTATAGGACTGAAATCAGTAAAGATGACGTTCCGTACAGAAACAATGAAGAAGACAAGATGCCTGTCCATTTCCTGCTGAAGAAAATAGTAACGGGAAAAATTCTTACCGGCGCGACAGTCTTAACGACTACAAGACCCAATGCCGTGTCATGTGTCAGAAGTCTTAATTTTAACAGAGCAGTTGAAATTCTGGGATTTACAACTGAGCAAGTGAATGACTATGTACGGAAGTTTACAAAACTGGAAGACAAAGCAGAAACCATAAGGCAACACATCACCAGTAACTTGAACCTTCTAGCCTTCTGCTACATTTCTGTAAATTGTTTCATCATTTGTTGCTGCTTGTTAGAGTTGCTTGGTAACACTGGCTTTACCAGCCTCCCGACGAGACTGACAGAAATATACTCCATTGCCGTAAGGATGTTTTACTTTAGCTACGATGATGATCAATATCGCCACAATAAAACTGAAGGTCAACAGTTTTTCCTTAAGCCGTTTAAGAAACTGTCCTCCTCTGTACAAAAGGTGTTCACACGTCTGGGAAAAATTGCTTTTGATGGAATTAAAGAGGGAAGACTAATTTTTGAATCACACGAAGTTAACGACCTAGAGAGTAATGGCCTGTTTCACCGTTTGCCTGATTTTAGAGACCGTCCTTTAGCAGAGAGAAGAGCGCAATATTGCTTTTTACATCTGACCATACAGGAGTTCTTGGCGGCGAAGTATTTGGTAGACACATTGAGTTCCGAACAACTGCGGGATTTTGTTTCCTCTCACATCAAGGAAGGCGCGTGGAAGGTTGTGATGCAGTTTGTGGCTGGACTGCTGGCTGAAAAAGAAGGAAAATCAACAGATATTTTCAGTGACCTTCTTCCCTCAACAACTGTTACTAAAGAAGATCAAATCAAGATAAATGAAGATTCAGAGGAACGAAAGAAAACACTGACCTTTTGGCCAGCTGTTGAAGACAATGCTTTAGTGGTGACGCTATTCAATTGCATGTATGAGAACAATGCCTCTGATCGAAAAGTTCAAAAGAAACTGGCGAAAATTGGTTGTAATGCGCTTGATTTTAGTTTTTGTAACCTGTCTCCTCTCGACTGTTTAGCATTAGTGCATGCACTTAAATCTGTTGAAGGAATTTTGGATTTTAATTTAAGCCGCAACAACCTTCAGTCGCTAGGATGTATTGACATTGCGAAGTTGTTACCTGGCAACCAACACAATCAGGGTTTTTGCGAACTAAAAACATTAAACCTCGGGGTTAACAAGATAACTGATGGAGCAGTTAAACATTTATCTACAGCACTCACACACACTAACTGCAAACTAAACAGCTTATACCTCGATAGTAACAACATAACTGATGAAGCAGTTAAACATTTATGTACAGCACTCAGACACGCTAACTGCAAACTAAACAGCTTACACCTCGCGGATAACAAAATAACTGATAAAGGGGTTAAACATTTATGTACAGCACTCACACACACTAACTGCAAACTAAAGAGCTTATACCTCGGGGATAAAATAACTGATAAAGGGGTTAAACATTTATGTAGAGCACTCACACACACTAACTGCAAACTAAAGAGCTTATACCTCGGGGATAAAATAACTGGTAAAGGGGTTAAACATTTATGTAGAGCACTCACACACACTAACTGCAAACTAAAGAGGTTAAGCCTCATTCGTAACAACATAACTGATGAAGCAGTTAAATATTTATCCGCAGCACTCACACACACGAACTGCAAACTAAACAGCTTATACCTCGATAATAACAACATAACTGATGAAGCAGTTAAACATTTCTCTATAGCACTCACACACACTAACTGCAAACTAAAGAGCTTAGACCTCCGTGGTAATCAAATAACCCAGAAAGGTACAAATCTCGTAAACTCATTAAATATAAAATGTAAAGTATATTTCTAATCCTTCTCTGCAGTGTAAATGTTTCCCTGTTGAAGGAATTTTGGATTTTGATTTAAGCGTCAACAACCTTCAGTCGCTAGGATGTATTGAGATTGCGAAGTTGTTACCTGGCAACCAACACAATCAGGGTTTTTTCGAACTAAAAACATTTTAATGTTTGAGTAGTTTAGCGGGATACAGTATTTAAATGTTTAACTCCTTCATTAGTGTCTTTATTAGTACTATGGAGGTTTCAGCTTAGTGTATGTGAGTGCTGCAGTGAACCGTTTAACTCCTCCATCAGTCATCTGGCGTCTCTCGAGGATTTTGCATCTCGCTATACTACCCAAACCTCTTTAGTAATAAAATAACCCAGGAAGCTAAAAGTATTTTAAAACCAATGACAATATTCTGTTAAGTGCGCTTATCTAATCTATTTAAACGTGTTGGTTTGTCCCTGAATAGCGCTGGTTTTAGTCTGGATTCAGTGGCGTTTTTGGAGCCTTAAAAAGTTGTTTTTTTTTCTTTTTGTGCAAAGCTTCACAGTGATCAGGTAACTTCAAAGCAATCTCGCAGCCCTTCGATTTTCTGTTGTATTACTTTCATAATATTTTCAGTTTTAGGTGAAGCGAAATTGTTTTAGGACACTACTATGTCTTTATAGTGTACTTGAACTGGTTGTGATTTCCAAAGTTAAAAGGTTCATATGGAAAACGCGTAACTAAAAATCTCCAGCAATGCGATTGTGGAGACTGGGTTAAATTGATAGACACTGTATTTATTCATTTGAGATAGTTGTACATACAGTGTAGCTACATGTGATATATTATAGCTTTACATAGTACAATTTGGGATTGACTAACATTCTGCGAAATAAAACTAACACTACGCGAAAATTGTTTTTTAGGACACGGTAGCTGTATATACTATTGAGTAAACATAACAACGTCATATTAACAATGTGTATTTAAACAAACTAAAACAGTTCCTATGTAAATGACGCTTTACTATTAACTGTGTTAAGTATTCCATAATGGCAGACATATATGATCAATTTAGATAGCCATGTATACAGTACCCTGCGAGCGGTGGTTAAACCACTGCGCGTAAGGCACGCATAGATATATACATTAAGAAATTTTCCTATAGGCGTGTTATTAGCTTAATGTGATTGATGCTTTCACTGATTTACAGTAAGCGTCATTTTAGAACTTTTTGTACATATAGTGGCTGATACATTTTCAGGTTTCCTGTTTATTATTGTACGTAGCCTTGGTTTTTAAAATGATGTTATTAAAGTTCCGTTAGACCAGTAACATGTCGGCCTGGCCTCGTTCCTTAGTAAATCAAACTGACCATTCTTCAGCAAAATACTTATGGGACAGAAGAGGCAAAGGTGGGTCTAGACCGACAGGGGGGGGGGGGGGTTGGGGGCCCATGCACCCCCTTTTTATCGTACGGATACTTCTCTTTCGGCTAAGATATAAACTGTGTCTGAAACGGATGGATCCAGGGGCCTGTTGCTTCCTGCCCAAAATGAATTATCTCGGGGCCTTGGTTTAAAAAAATGCTCTTTATTTGAGTGTCAGTGTATTTTAGCACGAAAGTACTAATTGGGGGACACTATTTTTACGTCTCCTACTGGAGACGGGATCGCCATTTTACGTGGTCATCCGAGCCACGCGAAGGTCTAGCCATTTGCAGGGCAAAGGCAGTACCTTCATTTCTCAGTCATTTTAAGACCCTATGCATTGTTCCGGTCCCGGGAATCGAACCCGCTACCTCCCGCTCTGCAGTCAAGCGCTCTACCGACTGAGATAATCCTGCCGCGGTTACAATAATAAGAGAGGACCACACAACCCATCCTCTCCTTAACCCTTCCTTTGATCCCCAATTGTTTGTAACAAATGTTGAGGTGAAAACCCCTTTTTTTTACTTAGTGACAAGATCTCCTACTCTGAGTTGTTTGAAAGCAACTATCTTACCAGCTGTCAGAATCACTCAAAAAGCTGATCTCGCCAACTATAAACTGGCCAGCACCCCTTTTGTATTTGGCGCCAGCTAACATAGAAAGCAACCATTAAGTTAGTAAGGTGGACCCAATCGAAATGCAAGATCCTTCTATCATGCATACACAGGGTCATTAAAATTGGCATCAGCTGTTGTGGTGTCCCTGTCAGCCCTCTTCTTTCGTTCTTCCTCTTTTTAATTTTTTTTTTTATGATGTTTTTGATTTTCTCTCCCGCCATATTTTAATTTAGCTACCTTCAATAACAAAATAAATCGAAAGTGATGAGTATGGAAAGTAAACCAAAAACAAACTGTATTTAACCCTTTAACCCCCAATATCCACATACAAATTCTCCACACCTGTGTCTACACTTTTCTGTAAAGAATAAGTTGAGAGAATTTGTTGAAAGATCAAAGCATTTCCCTCAGGTGATTATTTTATTAATTCTCACAACCTTTTTTCTTGATTGTGTATTTATATTGTTAAGGGAGAAAATTGAGGTTTGTCACTTTGGGGACTTACAGGGTTAAAGAGGTTGACACAAGATAGTTCCAAGAATTGGTGAACCTGTGGCCCTCTTAGATGTCCCCAACTAATTGGAAACACCTTCTACATCGAATTGGAATTTGAACATGTTGGTTATTAAGGAGAAGGGAAAACCGAAACAAGGGCGCATCCAGCGTGGTTTTGTTAAAGGTGGGGGGCGCAGTGATACCAGTCCACTTCCGAACGAAACTTTAAGTTGAAATTGTGTTTTCTTGTCCAAACGAGACGCAACGTTAAAATTGCAGCTGCCCCAAAGCGTTGCCCGTACCCGGGCTTATGCAATTTGGTTAGTCTTTGAAAAATTTGCGAGTGCTGATTTATCCCAAAATTGCACGAGAAGAATCATGTGATTACCTATACTAACATCACAGTACTCGGGATAATCCTTAAAAAAGAGGGAGGGGGGAGGGGTGAGGAAGACTGTTTTTTCTTTGTTACAACAGCATGTACCAGGAGCCCTGAAAGTTAACCAAACGTGGCAACCACAAATGATGTTTTTGTAATCGTTATTCATCATTGGAGAACTCGGTATGAAAATTACATTACAGTCGTCAGTTCACGTCTTGCGCAATCAAACTTTACTGATCTGTAACTAAGTAAGTAAAAGGGATGGTATGCAGTGTTTTCACTGAAGCCTAACCTCGTGTCCCAGGGCTTTTCCTTAAGAACTGTAGGCATATGAAAAGGGTATCAGTTATTCTATAGCAGCTATATGGCCCGGTATGTTTTTGGAATAGTCATCAAAGGATATTAAGGGTTTGGCCGTTTGGGCTTAGTTCTGATGAGTAAGTCTCCCCACCCCAGGGTATCTAAAGCTTTGCAAGAACAGGCTCGGTTTGGGGAAACAAAAGCAGAAAGCAAACACAGGCAAAGTGCTTATGACGCTAAATATCATCTATTCACTGTTTTACCTCTTCAATGTTATGTTGAATTGTTAACAAAAGCATCTTGTGGTTGTTGCTTTGCAATTCATAACTTGGAATCATCTTGGTGTTAGAAACTCTGTCAGTGATATCACAGGCCACTTCAAATTTATAGGCACCATACACAAATGGATTCATTTCCTGTACTTAAGTTAATTCTTTCTTTTATTTATGACGTTCATAGAGATTACATGAAACGAAAACTAAAGCCTATTCAACTAACCTAGAATTCCAGATCCAATTCCAAATTTTTCGGCTCACTTGACGTGTAAGTCACGAGACTCTTTTGAACCAATGAATGCAAAGATTATCTTAAGAGATCAGACGCATCGTCGACGTATTCCCAGATACGGAAGTGTTATGAACGTCAGTGTGGAATTTACTGTGTTCGCTGCGCTGTTTTTATCGACGCTTTATTCGTTTCAGTGGTAAATTTTCGACTTTTTGTAGTTTGGAACAAACCTAAAAACATCGGCTGAGTTTATTTTTCCAGCAAACGTCCCATCATATAACTTTATCGTGTTCTCTGTCCAGTTGATTTTCCGCATTGGATTGAAATGCATGCGTTGCTTGTCAAGGTAAGAACCGAATTAATGCATTTCTTTTTCATGTGAAATCTAAGCATACTGTGTCTTCTTATTGTGTGCAAAGATCATATCAGGTTCCCTGAGGCTAAACTTCAACATACTTCGCCACTTACATGTACTTGCGTTGCATACTTGAACAACGTAAAAGTGCCTGTTGTCTTGTGCTTCTTTCTTTAATTAAAGCGCTTTGACAAGTAGTGGGGTATGAAGCAACGATCTATTGGTCAAAGAAGGGAAATTTTGTGACTCCTTGATTCAATAATCAATTACATGATGGTTTGGTTACTCGTGCAAGAGTTGACAATCGTCGGTAAGAGATGGGGTGGCCGGGAGGCGATGGCATGGTTTAAGGCGCACGAGTATATGAAGGACGTTCTATTCTCTATCGCTACACTCAGCCGAATAGAAAATATTTTTGTTTTAATGATAAATGGAGGGAGCCGCCAACAATCGAGTTAATTACACCAGTGATAGTTACAGCAAAAACAAGGAATATATGCATGCTTAAATACAGATACAGAGGACTAAGAAAGGCTAGATTAAGGAAACATCATAAGTGCTAACAAAATATGCTGAACGAAAAATTAACAAACTAAAACAGAGTCAGACCATTTTAACAAAGCAATGCGAAAATACAAGAACAAATTAAACGTAGGTAAAACCTAAAAAACTCATACATAAGAAAACGAAAAAAGCAGCCACCAGTAAGCTGGTTGGCGTCAAGTGGTGTGAAATTCACAAGGAGTAGTTTATAAAGGATCTAATGGTCCTAATTAATGGGAACTGAACTAAACGATGTAATCAACAACTAAAAGAAATACATTGTGTGGGAGCAAGGAACAGCCCAACCACATTTGATATATTAAAATTCTAATGTGACTCTATCTAAGGCTTTCTGGCTCGTTTTCTGTATGTGGTTTGGTTTTCTTTGTGCTCAAGTCTCTTCTGGGAATT